ATGCGACGTTGAATGATTAAATGTATAGTTATAATATCAATCACTGATTAATCAGGAAATCTCAGAATGTATATAAATTCTACAAACTTGAAAATTCACAGATTTTTTACAGGGAGTAAGTATCCTTTAAAGTACATTAATGTTGGAAATTTAACCTCTAAAGCAGTTAAAAAGAGTTGGAAGTTTGTCTGTAAGCCCGTTATGTTTAAATTACGCAAGCAAAGCCGCGGATAAAGCTAGTATCAGTATAAATTCAAGTACCGTATATAACAATAGATCACAGACTGCACGAGGCAAGTATCACGCTACTCCATGACGGATCTAAATTAGTCTGCTGGAGATGTTTAGTATGAAATTTCCGACATTCCCGCCGTCAAAGCTATCTTAGTCGTCGAGTAATTATTGAGTCAATTGTTGTGGCTATTAATAGAACTGCAATAATTGCGAGGTTAAAGGGTAATTTGAGGATCGGCTTGTCAGCCAAACGCATCACGTGACTTTTGGCAGCCACTGGAAAGAACGGGAAAACTAGTAATTTCCGTGTAAACGACAATTTTTTTCTGGTTTTACATCATTGACTCTTAATTTCTTAGTACATTTGTGTTGTAATATACTTAGGTTAAGATACGATGGGATTAGCATATCCTAAAAAGTCCTGAAATTAAAAAAGAGAAAAAAGTATGTGCATAGGATTTCTAAAAAAAATTAATTAAATGTTGTTGCTATAAAAATAATTATTCGTACTTTAATAGGACGAATGCGTATTAATATTATAAATGTGAAAGTTTGTGAGTTTGTTACTCTTTCACGCCAGAACGGCTGAACGGATCGGGATGAAATTTTTATCCCGGAAAAATGTACGGTTCCCGTGGAATATTTTTGTTTTTGTTTTGCTAGAGGCGACCCCGAGCGAAGCGAGGGTGAGCCTTTATGAATAAACTAGCGGACCCGACAGACGTTGTCCTGTCTACACGTCTTTAATTTGAAAATTTCAAACTTTTTTTTAATAATTTTTTTGATGAAAATTATTATTCAAATTGTGAATCTAAACCATTCCCAGATCCCCTTGAACACACACAAAAAATTTCATCAAAATCGGTCCAGTCGTTTGAGAGAAGTTCAGTGACATACACACTCACAGAAGAATTATATATATAAAGATAGAGGAAGCTGTTATTTACGTAAAACATAACTAGGGACGACCCCAAACGGACCGAAGGCGAGCCACGAGTATATTTAATATATGTAATTCAAAAGTAAGCATATTTTCAACTGACTTCTTTAAAAAGGAGAATGTTCTCAATTCGTCGGAATTTTTTATGTATGTACGCCGATTACTCGAAGACGCCTGAACCGATTTGGAAAATATTTTTTTTGTTTCATAGGATATATCCTTCCCAGGTGGTCCCATTTAAATTTTATAGAAATCGGTCGAGCGGTTTTTAAAAAATCAAAATTGAATTATTTTTAAATAAATAGCTTAATTTAATATGTCTACACTAAAAAAGGAAAAATAAAAATTTTGAAAATAAATAAAAAGCTACTTCCAGGAACTAAAAAAATAAAAAAGCAGCTATGAGGACTGCCAACCGAAGTGAAAACTTAAAACTATAAACAGTTGCTATTTTTGGATATTCAAATTAATTGTTTGATGTTAAATTAAAACTGTTTACATTTATCTGGTTTTGACATCTATCGGCACTCTCAGTGTTAGCGTTAACACGTCACGTGACCATGTCGATGACGACTTACATGAATTTACTCCCCATCCAAACCTGCTATAAAACTTCAATAACTAAACGGGGCTTTTCATTTATAATAGATACCTAATCAGATATTTTCGAAGTCGGTGCGAGCCGATACAAATTAAAGCACACAGACATATCTAGACCTACATACCTATACCATGAACGAATTAACCACTGGACCAGACATATAAGCGGACGTACCTTTAACGGTCATGTCAGTAACCAGGGAATTTTAGCCTAGGTCGTTTGTTTCTTGTGTCAGTCTCAAGCACTTACTTGTCAACAAAACATCTCCCAAAAATGACTAAATGTTCTGTTAAATGGTGTAAAAACTATAACGGCGGAAGCAGCACTATTTCTTTTCACTTGTAAATACATTATTTTATTACATTGATTGTTATTTATCACAAAATTTAATTAAATGTAAAATAAAATGTCATATTATCCAACTATGTTAAATATAGTCGATATTTCTATGTATTGTTGACATCTGACAAACATCATAAACGGGCTGGATTATACCATTCAGAACAAATGACAAAACTGTCGAGTGAGTCCATTTGACATCGGCTAGTGCTTGACAATGTCGAAAAATATATCGATATTTGACGAAATAACTGAACGAATTGTGTTATTTGTACAGTACAACATAAAATACTTTTATCACAGTATCCTACAATCTGATGACAATAAATTTATAAAAATATTTTCTAAATCAAATAAAAATGTAAATGCAAAAATTATAATTAGTACGTGTACTTAATTTTTTATTTTATTTTATACCACATTATATACTTTGGAATATTTTTCCATTGTAATAATAATAAAGATCATTTTATTTCAACACATAAATTACACAAAATCAAACAATAATGTTTTAGCACTAAACTTCTGGGTTGGCGATTTGTAATAAAACACTTTACCACTTGCACTAATTATTTTACTTTCACGATCCAACACTCACTTTTTCACAATTTGCAATCACTTTTTCTTTTTCCTAATTTCGCAAATGTTTATTAATAACTGAGCAATATTAGGACAGTGTCACATTTTTATAACTACCCGAGACAATCAATTGCCAATTAAAATAGTTCAATAACAGAATCAACAAAATCACTTTATTTAATTAAATTAGCTTAATATTTTTTTAATATTTACAAAATAATATTTATTATATATTAATGGAATATACACCCGATATTCATTTGTTTATTAACATTATTATAGGCCAACAGAATGTTGCCATCAATGCCATCGTATTTATATAAATCAAATTAAAAAATAATTATTATTTGACACATTATTATTGCCTCTTTAATTCATTTATTCATATTTATTATAATAAATACAGATATTTTAAATTAAAAGATGTAAAATATGATGACTATGCTAACCAATGTCTAAAATGTCATTCATTGGTTCATCGATATATGTATTTTATCGATTACGTTCAAACACTAGAAATATTGTATTGTGTATCAGTGTTTATAATAATGTAATAAAATCTTTGTGTGCGTTATGTGTCACTTGGTTGAACCAGTTTTCATACATTTGTATTTTATGTCAGGTCCAGTCTCTAATTCGTCCATGACCTATACATAAAAATTCTGAGTTGAATCTGTAAATTAAATATTTTTTGGAAAATCTAATTGAAATAGCCATTATTATCGATACAGCAGCCGAATCTATAGTTTTTAGTATTTTTGTCTGTCTCTGACCGCAACATGAGAAAACCGCTGGACAGATTTCGATGAAATTAGGTATGTTGATAGCAGGTTATCCGGGTCAACATATAGGATACTTTTTCTGCGGGAAAATATCTCATCTCTGAGAATTCTATACTAAACGTTACAACGTAACTAGGGAGGTACCCGAGCGGAGCAAGGGTGAGTCGCTAGTCTTTAATTTTAAACATTTTCATTAGAATTTCCGAGAAATCACATCACAATTTTGTTATTTTTAATCGAAATAATGGTTAATTAAAATTCAAACATTTCCACATAATTTCCAAGAAATCACATACTTTGTTATTTGTAATTGTATTTCCTTATATACTACAAACTAGCGACTCACCCTCGCTTTGCTCGGGTTCGTCCCTAGCTTGATTCCCCATACAAACTTTCATCCCCATTTTCACCCCCTTAAGGGATGGTTTTTTAGGATAAAAAGTATTCTATGTCTTTCCCAGGGTCTCAAACTATGTATCTCCTTACCAAATGTCATCTAAATCGGTTCAGTAGATTCAGAAATTACCCCCTACAACGTCACAAATTCACAATTCACAAACTCACAAACTTTACCTTTTTATAATATTAGTATAGATTACCTGGTACTTTTATGATATCGGTTCTATATTAAATTACAATATCCATATTTAACTACAAGTGTTCGCCCAGTGGTCGAAATACGTCATATTAATATCCTTTTACAAGTTTTTATTTAACGTGTAATGTTTGTATGTATGTTTGTTCGGGTCAAATCTTGCAACTGAATTTAACAGCAGTTATCATGTCCCGGGTCTCGCACCTCTGATAATTTCATGTGCGAATCATTTGCAACATGATTACCATTTGTCTTACGGTGAAGGAAAGCATCGTGAGGAAACCTGCAATTTTGAGAGAACCTAGCAAGTTTTCAATAGACATAAGAAGTCCGCCAACCCGCACTTGGCCATCGTGGTGGACTATGGCCTGATCCCCCTCGTATTGGGAGGTCCGTGCCCAGCAGTGCGACTTTAAAAAGGGTTGAATACACAACCTCTACCGATTAAGCTGAAGTTTTGCAAACACATTTATTTTAGATGAATGCATGGTTAGATAAGTGACGTCATTCTAAATCCAACATGGCGGACTACCAAAGATGGCGTACTATGTTTTTATGCACCCCCATGATATGGATTTCTAATGAAAAGGTTTGCTGAGAAGAATACGAATAAATACCTAAAATTAAAAAAAATAACTTTAATTTAAATCAAACTCATTTATTATCTTACATAATTATATGATATACAACCTAGTTTTTAAAAATGTTTTTTAATTAATTTATTTATTTATTAAGCTCGTTAATAGCTATTAAACGAAGAAAAAGAAAATCAGTTGGCAAACAGAAGAGAAAATGGTACTGAATTTTATCTTTGCCTAGTTATTTATAGATGTTGTAAATCGAATCTTGGTACTTACATATGTATATTTTACGTTTAATATAAGTTATGGAAATATATTGTTTTATAACATCGTATGTTTTTCTTTCCAGCGTTAAGGTGCAAACCAGGGACAAAGAATGCTTGCCAAACAAATGGAACAATAAAAGGTATTTAAAAACACAATCTTAGTATTTTGTAAACTATAATATCTTGTATGTATAATATATAATATAAAATTCGTATGTTACGTACGTATACAAATATTAATTTATTCCGTAATAATGTAGACTTATAAATTCTAACGTAGATACTGTCTAGTTGGTCCAGTGGCCGGCATGTACAGCTGCAGATTGAAATTCTGAGTTCGAGGCCCGGGTTGGGCCAAATATATTTATTAGACATTAGAACATGAGTTACAGGAATATAACTTGTCTGCATAGACACTTGTGCACTAAAATATCTCCTGCGCCGTTGGCTAATGTTGGTGAGTTTGGCCGCCATGACCAACTTCGGTTACGAGGATCAAGGATGTGTATTTCATAACCTAGAGACCTATGATAAAGCAATATTATATCTGAATTGTGTACTAGGTTCTAACTGCTGACGAATTGACAATTTTCTATTAGTGATAATTTACATATATTAAGCAAATCATTTATCTCCCATTAGTGGCTGATCACTGGGGTTAATCCTTAGTGAAAAACAAAAACAAAAACAAAGCTATCCCACGGAAACCGTGCAGTTTTCCGGGATGAAAAGTGGCCTAAATGCTATATCTATTTCTATACTTTTCATCCAGATCTGTTTAGCCCTTTTAACAAACATTAATCCATCGAAACTTTCGCATTTGTTTCATTAATTATGACTATTCTCAGAATTAAATATTAGATTTCTATGTATATAACAGAAAATACACATGTAAAATATTAAAAATTGCATATTAATTTTATTTCAGATGTAACAGAAACTCTCTACTCTAAAGTTAGAAGACATAATGATACAAGGGAAGCTGTGTGTCTTGCCGGTAGCGAGTGGACAAGTAAATGTCAAAGATGTCGGTGTACAGACAAAGGTCAGCCAGAGTGTACGAAATTGGATGACTGTCAAAATGATGAACATGGTAAAATTATATAAAATTATTTACATTGCTTATTCAGTTATTTTTTACTTTTAAACTAGCGACTCACGTTACGTTTTGACGCTTTGTATGGAACAGATAGACTATATGTATATACATAAGTATTATGAGTTTTATAACCTTTACTTGAGAAATGATTCCTCATACAAACTTCCACTCCAATTTTCACCCTCTTAAGGGATGATTTCCGGTATAAAAATATCATATGTCCTTCCCAGGATCTCAAACATTATATATACACTGCACTAGAAAGATTTGTATTGACTTAACAAAATGCTCCATAAAATCGCAATGAGTAATTCAAATGACTTATTTATGAACTAATTAAAGAAAAACTTATGTACATTTTAGGGGGACCCATGATCTGCAAACCGCTTACAGAATTTTATAGGGACTGCAATGTATGCATATGTCTGAATAATGGTCTAGACATAAGCTGCACGCAACAAGAATGCTCGACCAAAAAGGTTTTACCTGATGGTAAGATTTTATTAAAACTATTTTACTATTAAAATGGTATATTAAAGAAGTGTTAAGTTAAACTAGATTAATTAATTGTAATATTTTTGTGTATCTTTGTGTACTAATATATTTTTATTATTTTTCCTGTAGCCACAATATTTATTTATGTCCGAATTATGTATAAGGATTAGGTAAAACAAAATGTCATGTCAATGTAAAAAAATGTCCCAATATATTTATTTATTTAATTTCTCTTAGATACCATCAGAAAATTAAGGTATAGTGTAAATAAAAAACGTGTGTGTGTGTACTTATGTACGCACGTAAGAAGTTATACTTCTTTGGCGTAACAACAAAAATAGCTAAAGATTTCATCCCGTATACTACAACTCTCTGTTTGTAAAAGGAATGCAGCTAACTTCATCATGTCGCTTTTTGGCTGTCGGTGTGCGCGCATCGTAAAAGTTCTACTCTCATATTTTTTTCCAAACGTGCCAAAAGAGGTATAACTTCAAAAAAATCTTCACTATACAAAAATCTAGCTACATACTCGTAGTTTTACCAATTAAACTATGCTCACAAACAGACAAAATTTTAAAACTTATGTCTTTCAATTTAGATAAAAATGGTTAAATATTTATTTTAAATTTTACTGCTAATTCTAAATCTATTTAATAACTTCGAAATAAAAAAACACGATATTAATTACAAATATATATTTTTCCAAACTACTAATGTTTCACTTTACTTCATTTCAATAAAAAAACCCAGGAATTTGTTGATTTCTACTAAATGAATGTAGTTTAGTAAAAGTACAATGTATATTGTATATAATAATACATAATATGTATACATAATTTTGTGTAATTAGGTAAAGATTGTCAAGTGGGTTCACGTTGGCGGAGTAAATGCAACGAATGCTCGTGCGAGGATGGGTTGCCCGCTTGCACGGAAATGGCCTGTCCTGGAGGAGAGGATGGTATACTATAAACATAATAATTATATTTTTATATAACTAGAAAAAATCTTTTGACCATAATAATCTACGGAATACATTTAGAGGTTTAGATTTACACGAATGTATGACATTTTAAGTAAAACTTTTGAAAGTCTTTCCTATGAACGTGGTTGTTGTAAAGTGTCATGTTATAAAACGGCTACTTTTTAACACTTCGCGATTAAATTCTAAGAAATTAATTGTTAATCGAGCCACCTGTGGCCCCGCGAGCTTTGAAAGGTTAAATAAAATTATCTTTTCGGATTTAGCGGATTTATTGGATTGGATTTATTGATTTTTGGTACCCGAAGTTTAGAACTTTTATCCACCAGAGACTTGACCCACAAAAAAGAGTCATAAATCAGAGAAGACGCGTAAATCTAAAAAAGTATTATAAAAAGTTTTTTCTTTAAATTAATAAAAAATCACAAAAAATCGTTTTACAATTTGACAGGAATATCTCGTGATATCCACAAAATAAATAACCGAATAATTCCTCTCCCTCTTTTGAAATCATTATAGATTTATAGCATTATGCTGTCAGTAAATATTTAAATCTGAAATTTTATTCCAGAGCCAGAACTAATGTGCAAGCCCGGTACGGAGTGGAAGATTGACTGTAACACTTGCACGTGTTTACCGAACGGTCGGGCGCTGTGTTCGAGGTTAGGCTGTGGTTTGCATGACGGTAAGCGCAAAATATGTTAGTAGGTACATAATTGATTTCGGCTAGGTCTTCTCTATTCTAAGTTACATTGGCAAAGGAATCTGTGCTTAACTGGCGTACTTTGAAGGCATTAAATAAGAGAATTGAATTGAATTGATTTAGGCTAGTTTTTATAATTATCAGGTAAGAGTTACCTGTAGTAATTTAAGAAGTTGTTTAAACAAGCTAATCTCTAAAAGATCCGATTTAACGAAAACTTTTTGTATTTTGTAGCCTATTCATTAAGGAAACTTGTAAAAAGCTATCTTAAGCTTTTACGACCTAAGAGAGGAATAGTCAAAGTTTTACAAACATCTAGAAAAATAGAGAATACTAGCGACTCACCCTCGCTCCGCTCGGGTTTGTTTGTTTCTACTTACGTTTTAGCGTTTAGTATAGATTTCTCAGAGATGAGATATTTTCCTGCAGTAAAAAGCATCCTATATGTTGACCCGAATAACCAGCATCATCATACCAAATTTTATCAAAATATGCCCAGTAATTTTCTCAGACAGACAAAAATTCTAAAAACTATAGATACGGACTCTGCATCGATAATAATGTCTATTTGAATAAGATTTTCCAAAAAATATTTAATGTACAGATTTCATTTTATGCACGTTTATTACTTCTTCCCGCTGAAACTGCTGGACGGGTTTTGATAACATTTAGTAGCAGTAGGATATAGATTGATTTCAAGGTTACTTCAATAACACATAAGCTGCTACTAGTTATAATACTTGCCTAAAGTTCAGCGCTATATATAAAGGTGTCCTTTGGTGTCCTTTTGTACCAATAATATTTATAAATAATAAATATTAAAGGACACTTAAGGATACACCCGAGCGAAGTATGGATAAGTCGCTAATTTTTGGCTCTATTCAACATACTCTTATGATTAAAGACATACCAAATATTATTTGAAACTATTTTTTGGCCAGATTAGTCAGATGAAGGACGCAATCTCGGAGAAATACCCATTACTTATAGATTTTGTTTCATTTACAGCTTCAGATTTCAAACCTGATGATGGCGTTGATGACAAATTAGAAATGGTAAGCGATATTTCTATTATAACTTAAATACAAGCGCACTTCATTGAAACTAGTTTTTTAAATTAATAATCATAAGGTGTAATGTGAGAAAGAAATAATTTTATTAAAGATATTCATAAAAAATACGAATATTAACCAGCAATTTGTCTTAGAAAGCGACATATCTAGTAACATTTATTAAGGTTCAGGTAGTGCTAGAAGATAATATGTCGTTATGTTTGTAACATTAGTCTTTGTATTGTTATAACTGAACAAGTAATAAATTAAACCTTTAATGTTTCTCACGACCATCGTTCTTCATTACAACGTTTTGATTAACCTATTAGATACCTTGCTTCTTTTAGAATTGAGCTTATCAGATCCAAAAGTAATACGATATGATGATTACCGAATGCACCTGTTTTTTGGATTTGTCTATTTAACACATATTAATTTTGTATCGTCTTCAATTTCGAGAGTGCTTAATGTACATTTACATTAAGATCAAAAGATCTTCATTGAGAGCAAGGAAAAAACCCTGCAGAATTTAACAATAATATATTAGCGTTAAGTAGATGCCTTACATGCAAGTCGCCAAACTAACTCTGAGCGATAAACTTATTTGATGATGATGTTTATAAAAGCCGATAAAAAAGTGAGAACTGTCATTATGTCTGGAAATAGTCACTTGAGAAAATTAAACTCTTATTTAGTCCTTTTATCGCACTTTCACTGCTGGGCATCCACTTCGTATTTGTAGTGCGAGGGAGTTCAGGATATCCTGATAGTCTAAGTAGATTAAGTACGAATTGGCGGACCTCACATATTCTTCGAAACTACTAAAGTCTAAACTCTCTGACACGCAGGTTTTTCTAGATATTTTTCCTCATCATAAAACGAGTGGTAATCATGTAGAAAATGATTCGACGTTGCAAATCTCAGAGATGGCAGACCTAGGATTTAAACCCGCTTTACTTGGTTTTCCAAACGAGCTCGTTAACCTTTGGGCTACCATTGCCTTTTGGGAATACTAATCACCGCCACTATAATATATCCAGCAGTGCACTGTCATGTCGTTCATTTGTCTCTTTAACAAACAAAAAAATTATAAATTAACGTTATAGTTTCCTAATTGTAAAAAAAATCAACAAATTTAGTTTAGGTTACGGAACATTCGTGATTTAACATATAGCACAATGGTTATGGAATGCACTTAGAAGATATTAAAACAGTAAGTACTTTTTGTATATTATTTTATCAGAGTTAAACTTTAATAAGAGATTTTTCTTACACCTTACATCATTCTTATTTTGATTTAAATGTCAATAATGTTTAAGCAAACTTTATTCCCAAGGAGGGTTGACGTCAGGCAGGCGGCCGGTCGTAAAACTTTTGCCAAATCCTATCAGCAGTACACTGAAGATGTACTGCGCCGACCCCAAGTGATTTGGGAAATGGGCAGGGAGAAGAAGAAGAAGAAGAATGTTTAAGCAAACTTCAAGCACACAATACAACTTCAAATGTAGAAAAAGCTAGCTTTTCTATTAGATATAAATTTTGTTCATCCTTAAAAAAACCTGACATACAAACCTCGCAGTTTTTAGAATCTTTATAGATTTTCAAAAGCTTCTTTAAAGACTTCCATAATTTATAATAAGCACTGCTTTAAAATTTTATGAATTTTCACTATTATTATTTATTTTTCATAATAGTTTGCCAAATAATACTAAACACTTAACTAACTTATATTCATTTAAATTTTAGGAAAACGTGTTCTGGAATGATCATAATAGAGTTAAAAGATCTCGTGTTTGTAAACCGAATAACGTATATAAAGTAGATTGCAATTCTTGCAAATGTGCTCCAGATGCGCAGAGTTACACTTGTACTTTGAATGAGTGTTTGGAAGAAGAGGATAAAAATGCCAACGCTGGGCGCAATATTAATAAGGACGTTGAAGTTTTTATGGAGAGTAAGGTATTGAGTTATTTACATAATAACATCAAGAGATATTCATCACTATGTTTCTACATTCTATAGATTGTCCTACTATAGATATTACACATATTACTACAACTTGTGACGGTTAGAGGAGTCTCGAGATGTATTATTCTAGGTCATAGTGTATTTGTGTACTAAATTTCGTCCAAATCCGTCCAGCAATTGAAGAATAAGTAACATACTAATAGTGCAAGAAACAAGTTCTATTTAATTTTGCTCAACTGATCTCGATGTTTGGATAAAGAAATACATAAAAAATATGAATAAGTGTTATTTTTGTTTAGAGTATCTTCAAACATAACTAATCTATACTCAATACATAAGAAAAACAACTACTTTTCAATAAAAAACAAGACAAATATTTCCTAGGCCCCAGATCACATAGAGCGGAATTCTGAGCAAGTGTGCAAGCCACGAGGGACTTTCCGCATCAGATGTAACATTTGCCTGTGTACGGTCGACGGCACCGACTTCTCTTGCACTAACAAACCTTGTCCATTACCTGCTGACGTTGAAATATTCCGTGAATTGAAAGTGAGTATTTTCAGTTTTCAGGACAGATGTTAAAGTTAAGAAAGAATTACGAGAAATCAACTTCCTTCAGTAGTGAACATATTACAAGATCAGGAGGAAGGTTAGCTTTCAGTTCAGAAAATCAGTTTGCGATATTTTTAAGGTATTATATTTAAAGCAAAGTATTATTGATCTGGATCTTAGGCAACAAAATCCATATAATTACTAATACGCCTTTTGTGCAAGATATTTTTTCTTTTTAATTAAATATAAACTTGCTTTCATGTTTCAGGACTTAAAGCCTATTATGCCTTGAGCGATGTAAAGGGATAAAAGAAGAGGCATAGTAAATAGTAATATTTAAGTCACTGTACAATTTTTATTTTTATAATAAAAACATTTGAAATACTTTTGAGTTTTAATATCGTAATACCCATCCAATACCACTTCTCAAAATGTATGTAATTTATTAAAAAAAACGTGATCATCACATCCATTTCTTAGGTCTTGAGGACATCTCCAATTAAAAAGACTGTAGTTTGTACAGCTAATAGAATGTTCATCAAAGATTGTAACACTTGCTGGTGTAATGAAGACGGTACCAGCTATTTTTGTACAAGACGAGTTTGCAGTGCAGATGTAATCGAAGATATAGAAGACAAGCCTGAGGTACTAGAGATGGTCTATAGAGCTTTGGTGTACCAAAAGTTTTTGCTTTATTTTGGGTTCTTTTGAGAAGTCCGCTATTTTTGTTTATAAAAAGTTTGTTTCAATGCAGAACCTTCAAGAGATTAAGCGTAAATGTCGACCAGATGAAGTTTTTGAATTGGAATGTAACATGTGTCGATGTGCCACAGATGGGATGTCGTTCTCTTGTACTCGTAGGGCTTGTATTCCTGAAGATGACGGAAAGGTGTGTTCTTAGATTACTTGGTGGTGGATTACTCTTCGTTGTTTTTTTCTGCTTCCTTCTTCTTCTCGGTTTTTAGTTGCTTTTTTTTGGGAAAGAATGGTCTTTCATATTAGACCGACATTTATTTCTTCTAAGGTGTTGGGTTTATTGGTGGCCTATTACTTTTTTCGGTATAATCGAATTAATTCTAAATCTTAATAGGATAAATTAAAAATTAAATCTGTTTATCCTATAATATTATTTATTTATTTATTTTGATTCAATATTTTTTGTTTTCTTTTGCAGAACGTGTCCTTAACCAGAAAAATTCGAGCAACCTCGCAGGTATTGATATAATGACATCTATTTCCATATTATTCTAATAATTCTTTTAGAATTTAATTATATATTTATATAAATTTGTGCATTAAGTAGAGAAGAGAATATTATGTTCTCTTCTTACATTAATGTTTTGTAAAAATAGCTCCATATTAGTAGGTCCATATTAGGAATATTCAAATTAATACTTTTCAATAAAGTTTTAAGATATATACTTATAGAAATATTGTTTTTATATAGATTATAGCTATTTTATATATATTAAAAGATATCTTAAAATATACTAAGTATTTTTTCCTTAATTCTCAATATCTTGTAACTAAAAAGATTCCCCATTTTAAAATGACTGTAAATAAAAAAAAATATCATTAAAATTGGTTCGAAGACAACACAAAAAGTACAAAATTACTACTACTGCTACCTACACTTTAAAAAGTTGGTAAAAATATTGGTGCGTCCCACGCTTCCTATTATAAATTTTATTGGAGCTTTTATAACACATTCAAAAGCCATCTTAAATGGTATAATTGTGGAAAAAGCTACACAACGTAGATATAACGCGTGTGATGTCCAGTAGGAGACGCTGAAGGCCTGCACACCGGGACAGGAGTTCAGGATGGACTGCAACATGTGTCTGTGTAACAACGAGGGGCAAGACTTTTCCTGCACGCGAAATGATTGCTCGGCTCAGAATAATAATAGAAATTCTGGAACTAGGGCTAAAAGAGGTAAGATCTACATACATACATACATATGTACATATCTACTAAACAGTGAGTTTAATGTGATATCCAATCGCCAATAGAAACGGTATCTTGAACATTACACAAATTTCTGACATCAAAAATGACTTGACTTACTGTTCAGCTTTATTATATAATATTGTGCAAATTTTTATGATTCAATAATTATTTATATATATTTTATATATATATATATCCCGTATTCTATACCGTGGCTTAAACGGCGTTGACTAACAAGTCAGATGTCAGTATTTCATTCAGTAGATTTATGGATGGTTCAGGAAAATATAAAAAAAATAATGTCAATATTTTTGTTTAGATTAGAAATTTTGCATTCTCTTTCTCCAACATATCTTAGAAGAACTTGCCGAAGTCTGCCCGCTTTGACACCAGGACATCGATATTTTTTTAACTTTTCTAATTAAATTCTGTTATTTCAAAACCTTAACCTAAAAAAGTTAAAACTAAAATAATTTAATTTCCTACAATCATTGTAATTTTGATAAGATTATATTATTAATTCGAGAAAAATTAAAACACACTAATTCCACTCACGATTACTGACAATAATCTGAGAGACATAATTTCACATCATTGCAGAAGTCGCTACTCAAGTGAAAACTGATTGTGAGCCGGGCAGCGTGTTCAGTCAGGGCTGCAACACGTGTCAATGCACGGCAGATGGAAACCACGCTACATGTACTATAAAACGCTGTAAAGTGGACAACCCTAATGAAAACGATATTGATCTATCAGGTGACTTTTTCAAACTAGTTTTCACCTTCGACATACTTTCCATATAATAACGTCGATAAACATTAGCTGTTTCTTACTTGATTTGAAGCTATTTCTGACACGAGACAAAATAATTCTCACATTTTCTCAAATTATCTATTACCGATATTGATCATAGAAAAGCGACTTGTTTATTAAAGAATATTAGTTCGTAGATAACTTATATATAGTAATAACTTATTAATATATAGTACCTGGGCCACCGAGCTTCGCTCGGAGTTTTTGGTCGGACGTAAAATTTTCTTTAAAAAAAAAAAACTAAAAACTTGAATAAATACAAAGAAAAATTATACCTTTTGATTCGAACCCGGACACCTATCATTGTCAATCTTGCGCCTTGGCCGCTTGACCATGATGCTTATGCCCGAGCGTGCGAAATTATCGACTATATTTTGCGTGGAAAAACCGCATGAAAATTCAAAACATGCGTTTTCCCAGACACAAAACTAATCTAGATCATTTATCGCCCCCGAAACCTCCTGTATACTAAATTTCATGAAAATCGGTGAAAAAGTTATTTAGATTATATATATATATATATATATATATATATATATATATATATATATATATATATATATATACAAGAATTACTCGTTTAAAGATATATCGTAACATCGCTCAAATGCGGGGCTATCTGTAATATTATATTTATCAATGTAACTTCGATATTTAAAAGAGCAACTGTAGAGTTTCTCGCCGGCTCTTCTCAGCAGAACTGCTTTCCGAGCCGGTGGTAGCTTCCTCACGGACTGACTACACTAACACTTCAATTGACAATTGAAAAGTGCTTGTAATAAGTCTATTTGAATAAAGTTTCATTTCATTTCCAAGAAATTACATTTATTAAAACTAAGCATTACATTTCACGTGGTCAGAAATTCCCATATACTTTAAAATTATGTATTAGCAATATCGATTGTATAAAATCGACTTGTTTATTTCAAAATAGTTACATCAGCAAGACTATTCTATTTTTTTAATTTACAGAATCGGACCCAAGCTTCCGTTGCAACCCTGGAGAGCAATTTAAGAAAGGGTGCAACGACTGCACTTGTTCAGCCGATGGCAAAAGCGTGTTCTGCACTTTACGTCTCTGCGACCAAGACATTACGCCGACAATCTAAACACCATGTAAACACATCGTTTTACACTTTAATGTAACTTTTCTATTACTATAATAAATTCTATTATTGGTTGATAGAAATTTTGCTTGCTTTTGAACTTTTCGGAAATTTTGTATAAAGAGACCATCTGGTACCAATTTTTTTGCGAATTTCAGAATGGAATCTGAAAGTGATTTGACGACGTGTTTTTTTAAGTATTTAATTCGTTCACTTAATTCGTTTATTTAGAATTCATTACTACATATGCTTATTATATGTTAATGCTAATAGTTTTAGAATCAGCCATTTTTTGATGAAAATTAAAAATGTGAAAATCGTTACATTTTAAATGAAAATTAAATTAAAAAATAATAATTTTCATTTAATTCAAAATTTTAACATTAATTATTTGAAGCAAAATTAAAATATGGTTCCAATTTGGAACTAAATAATTCAATAACGGTTCCAATTAGTACTATAAAATTATTATATATTAAAAAAGTAAAATATTTTGTCAGTAGAAAACTTGTAATTTTTATTGTAACAATAATATATAATGTGAGTTGTATTTAGTTAAGTTAGTATAAGAGAGAAACGACTTCCAATTGTTACGCAAAATTCATTTTAAATGTTTATATTTAATTGTCAACCAAACATCAGCCCGATCATTTTGGCAAGGTAAATTCCTAACAAATTTTATTCTATAACAGATACTTAATATTTTATTGTAATTTCACTACTTTTTGTAATGAAAAAAGTTAACTTTGTCGTTTTTCATAGTAATATCGTTAGTATTTTGATCGCATGTGGTCATATTAATTATTTCATAGGTAGCGAAATTTTTTTCGTCTTAAAATAGTTTTTATACTTTAACGTACCCATGTATTAGACGATACATTATTAATGTGTGAATTTCATTGTGAAATGAATAAAGAATTTTGATTTTATAATGTGTTTTATTATAAATTATTCCCTTTATCGATTAATTGTCTTCGTATGAGAATTGAACCCGCTACCATCATCATAGTAAGACCAGTTATAAATAAATATAAATATGTAAGGACATTTACACACAACACCATCTAGTTCCATGGTCCAAGATACGAGGCTTGTGTTATAGATACCAGATAGTTGATACATTATACATATATAACTTTAAATACATACATATTATAAATATAAACATCCATGGCTAAAGTACAAACATTCGTGCTCATCACACAAATGAATGCCTCCAGCGGGACTCGAACCCGCGACCGCTGGCGCAGCAAGTAGGGTCACTACAAACTGAGCCAAACGTATTGTCAAATCGTTAGATATTATTGTCTTGATGATGTTACATGTTTTATTACCTACTTTACTCCATAAATTTAGCAAGTAGTAACTTGGGAAGTAGATTATTACCTGGAAAACTCATAAACAGCATATCAGGCACCTCGGGAACACGAGCAAAGTCAGAGAAATTCGCTAGTAACAAATAAGAACCACTAATGTATACAAATTAAAATATTTCTTATCGTATGAAAGGAATGTAAAATCGTTGCAGCGTATTTAATGGATTCTTAAATTAATTATTCCTTACCTACTTCTAATTACAATTTACTGAATTTTTCAATCGTTTGCTTGAAATTATGCTTCGCAACTTATTACTTATTGTTGTGATTAATTTGTTGAAAGTGGAGTCGTTATTGGGTGAGTAATATCTCTCTGCCGTTATATAATAAAACTAGCATTGCCCGCGGCTCCGCCCGGGTTCAGATGACCAAAAATCAAATTCTTACGTTTTACATATTAGTATACTCTTACATTGCAGTTTTAGATTTTTTTCTCAGAAATTAGACAGTTTCCCGCAGTAAAAAGTATCCTATATGTTAACCCGGATAACCAGCTATCACCATACCAAATTTCATCAAAATCGCTCCAGTGGTTTTTCTGTGATGCGGTAACAAACAGACAGACATACAGACAAAAATTCTAAAAACTATAGGTTCGGCCTCTGTATCGATAATAATGTTTATTTAAATAAAATTTTCCAAAAAATATCTAATGTACAGATTCGGCTTAGTTACAATTTTATTATATGTATAGATATTTATACGCTAACAAGTAGTGGACTCGATGCGATTTCCCATCTATACTAATATTATAAAGAGGATTTTATTTTTGGTTCGTTTGTTTGTACCGAATGGGCTCTGAAATTTGGTAAGAAGTTAGTTTGATATCGTGGGAAGGATAGGTTTTATCCCGGAAATCATTTCTTAAGGATATGAAAATGGAGATGAAAGTTTGTATGGGGAATCAACCTAGGGACGAACTCGAGCGAAGTGAGGGTGAGTCGCTAGTCATAAATAGACATGGAGGATATCAATTTCCATATTTCTGACTTCGAAAATCACAAACTTTCATAGAATCTTACATCGCCTTTTTAACCATTTTAGGGCATTTTTATTGAAACTTCGTTAATTACTCACCTTTGCTATAGAATGAACTATGCGTATAACTTCTAATTTAGGGTGTGTGTAGGTCTAGTTTTGCTAATTATTTAGTAGAAGTTTTGCTTAGAAAATGCTTTTCTAACGGACCAGAAAAATAACATGCTGTGTAAGTATGTGAACCCTTTATTTACCTTGGCGCGAAACTGAAAAAATAAGTTATGGGGCCGATATTAATCTGTACTAATATTATAAAGAGGCAGAGTTTGTTTGTTTGTTTGTTTGTTTGTTTGTTTGTTTGTTTGAACGCGTTAATCTCAGGAACAACTAATCCTATTTGGAAAATTCTTTTTTGCATAAGATAGCTCATTTATTAAGGAAGGTTATAGGTCCCTAGGTTGATTGCCCATATAAAATTTCATCCCCATTTTCATCCACCGAAGGGATGATTTTCGGGATAAAACTATGCTATGTTATTCCTAGTGTCTCAAACTATCTACTTATCATATTTCTTCTAAATCAGTCCAATAGTTTCAGTACAAACAAACAAACAAAAAATCAAACCTTTCCCCTTTTTATTTCTATTGGCATATAAACATAATTTCATTATTTAAAAAAAACATGTTTTTATGTATGTACGGACTAAGAGATTTATTTAGATTTTTGTATGTGAAAGTGAATCTTAGAAAGTCCTGTGTACCAACTCAAGCTGTGAGAGGACCGTGTCATACTTGTATTTGCAATGAAGAAGGTGTTTTTCAATGTACGTATACAAAATGCGAGGATAAAGCTCCTGGTGAGTCGAAAAAAAAATTTTTTTAATTGTGGGTAGGCTGTCTGTAACAACTATACATTCAAGACATGTAACACCTCAGTCTCTCCCGTGACCATGGATGCTGTAAAGCATTCGAAACGTCAGGAACCAAAAATCAAAATAAATCCGCGAAATAATCCGAAAAGATAGTTTTATTTAAAATATTTTTTTAAGTTATATAGTACTTAGCCCCGCAATAAAATCGTATCTTTCGTATAGTATCGTGGTCGATGTCAATAGATGGCGTTCTTTACATTCTTTATAGGTACCTAATAATAATAATATTATGAAATTTTTTTAAATCAAAGTTTTATAACAAAAATATTAATATTTTCCATCATTAGCAGAGAATTATCATTTGCTAATTTTCATCATTAGCAGTGAAATTGGATAAATTATTATTAAAAGAGACATAGCATAGCGAAAGAATCATCTTATCTTACTACTATATAAATGCGAAAGTTTGGATGGATGTTTGTTACTCAATCACGCTAGAATAGGTGAACGAATCTGGATGAAATTTGGCACAGTGATAGATTATAGTCTGGAATAGCACATAGGCCGGGCCTTTATCCTGGCCAAATGTATGGTTCCCGTGTCCGATTTGTTCTCGTTTTTCTCTACCAAACGAAACGAGCGAAGCCAGGGTGAGTCGCTAGTAGTATATATGATGATATGGAAATTATATGATAGGTATAATGAGATCAGGTAGATAGTTTTTAAGAGTTTTACATTTCTACACATCTCGATGACTTATTAATTTGTATATGTAACTTATTGAATATACTCCTATATAAAAAATGTAATATGATAACAAAGTTACCATTTTTTAATTCGTATTTTTAGTGCATCGAAATAAATCTATCAAAGGCGAGTGCCAGCCGCTAATGACGTATCAGTATGAAGATCTGATCTGTTCTTGCAGTTTTGAAGGCAAATGGATGTCTTACAATTGTAGAGAAACCTTTCGGAACCTCAAATCTAATAGGACCACATCCCCTAATCTGAGATCGGGAATCACATGTACGCCTAACTCCTTATTTTTAATTGACTGTATTATATGTCGATGTGAAAATTCTGGTCATCTCCAACCCACATCTTGTACTAACCGACAATGTATTAAAGGACATAAAGCAGATGCTTGCAAGTTTGGAGATTTCTTACGAACTAATGACGAGATATGTGTTTGTAGTGACATTAATTATTACATAGATAGGCTTTGCGTGAAAATTGAAGATAAATTAGTACAGGAAATAAAGAGGGATACCATTAAAAAAATTACAACGATAAATCCTTCACGTAGAAGTATGAAAAATGGTTGTATCCCATATAAAGAATATTTTATCGATTGCAATCATTGTATATGTGATAATAATAGCAAATTAGTCTGTACGCATAAAAACTGTGAATATCCAAAGAAAGCTCTAATAAGTAGAGGAAGAGATGAATTTCATAATTTACCAACAGTAAAGAGTGAAAATGATAGCTGTGAATCAGGGAAGAAGTATAGATATAAGTGTAACACTTGTATATGTACAGACAATTTCTTGTCTTGCACTACGATGCTTTGTTTGCAAGACTTTGTGTTTGAAGAAAAATCTCACTCGTCGAATCTACATAATGTCTAATTATACATAGTATATATAGTATATTCGTAATTTTTTAAAATTTATTTATTTATTTTATGTATAGTTTATTTTTATATTTATATTCCAGTCGTGTAGTTACTTTTGTACAAACTATTTTTCTTTTAAAATTAAGTATTATATTTGAATATTTTATTAAAGTTATTTGAGACCATGTACTCGGCAATTAACTGGACAAATACACCTAGTATATATTTTATTATATATAATATAAATATATATTAAACATAGAAAAACTTTTTAGTCAGTGATAAGCCAGACGAAATTCCTCAAATCAGAGAAGGACAGAGTTGTATAGCTGGTAAAATTTATAAATTAGCTTGCAACACTTGCCAATGTGGACCTAACAATGTTTTACTTTGCACAAAAATGGCTTGTCTCGAAAAGACGATTGCGAAAAAAATACAAAATCTAAAAATAGATAATTCTAAACCGGAGCCTAAAAGGAGAATCGATGTAACAAAAGTTCCGAAAAAAGTAAAATCTTTCCCAAAAGTACCGAAAACACAATGTGTTCCTGGAAGATTTTATAGCAAAGGGTGTAAAAAATGCTTATGTAATGAAAAGAAGGTAATTGTTTGTACGGAAACTTGCAGTTCATCCGTCAAAAGTAAGTGCTTTTTGTATAATAAATTTCATTTTTAAGTCGATGTAAATAATTTCATTAATTATTAATAAAATTATATGAGAGATATTTGAGAAAAACTATTATTGGGGATCCCAAAACAATGTTTTTTCGAATTTTTAACTGTTTGTCTGTGGATTTGTGAACGCTAATCTCAGAAACGGCTTAACAGATTTGGGTGCAGTTTTTATGGTAAGCTTCACTTAACATTTAGTATTTCTTTTAAATCGGTTCATAAATAAGAAGTTATGTCAATTTAAAAAATCACCTAGGGATGAACATATAATTTAATATTTATCTAGCTAGTAATATAATATTTCTCTTTCAGATCGCATAAATGATCAAGAGATCTCACAACTAGAATCTAGATCAGCCCAAGACTTGCCAGAACTAACGCACGTGGGGAAAGAATGTGTTCCTGGAAAGTCTTATATCGTATCTTGCAACTTATGCATATGTAATGAAAAAGGCGGTCTTATTTGTACAGTAAAGTATTGCCTACATATAAACAGCTACGCTAAGCTCCAAATACTTAAGTTCACAGGTAAAGTGATATTTCTCGTTCATTAAAACTGACTCACTATGGTTTATGCATTAAATAATTGTGGTATATACACAAGAACACGAATACGCTCAGCAGTCTGATGATACGGAACTCATATACAGGTGGAGAAGGCCAACTTAATAATGCAATAAACGCTATCCAGGATGTTTTTTAACTTCGGGCTACTTCTTTTTGAAAAAAAATCGTAAAATCGGTTGATTCTGAATAAATCCTTGTAATCTATTTAGGATCAATGCGTGAGGGCCACAACTAACATCTGTCGAGTCTTAGACATTAGCAGAAAGATGCCATGAATGTCTTTTCTATCTACTAATAATTCGCCCCAAAATTGATGGTAACTGCTAATATTATGCTAAATATAAATTTTATTTACAGGCACTTCTTGTAAAGAAGACTATATTGATATCTGTGTTGAATGTAAATGTGTGAAATCTAAAAGCCAGTGTTCTCCGGCAAAAATGTGCGATATCAACAACGTTAGTGAGAAGCAGTTGCTATCATCCGTTGGTAACAAAATCAAACTGAGCCTTGATGTTAAAAAGGAAAACTGTATACCTAATGCTATATACAAGTAAGCTTATAATTCAGTATAGCTAGACCAATAAAATAATAATAGATGTAAAATATGCTCACTAATTATTTCGAAATTGGCTGACGGGATGATTTAGGTGAAGCAAATGATCAAACCATTTTTTTTATTGTTATCATCCAGTTGTTACTCGCACGATGACGATATGATTATAACGATATTTATTTTATACTAGCGACTCAGAATCGCTCTACTTGGGTTCATCCCTACGTTAATTTCATAGAATCTCCTTGAACTATAAGCGATGCGCAAGCAACTAATTATTACCTTTTAATACTTTCTTTATTTTCAGACGTAATATAAAGTTTATTTGTTAAGCAAGTAGATAAAATATTAATCGAAACACTTTATTCCTTTCACTCTATCCGGTCAATTTTTTCAACCCCGTACTATTACTGAGAATCTCTTGGTAGAAAACCCAATAACTATAATAAAATTGAGCCCGGCCCAGGTCTAGAACCCAGGATCTTCGCTATACCAACGAGGCACCTATAATCTACTAATATATAATTTAATTAAAAATGTTGCTAGATTTCGATATTTGAAGATTAAGACATAGAGTTTGAACTCCTAATTGTTGTCTTGTACATATCGTGATAATAAAGCACCATGTTTATTGGGAGTTTGAGGCCTTAAATAAATGGATTGTCAGTCCTAGCCTAAATACAATCTACCAAACTAGTGTATGTATGTGTGTATGTATGTATGTATTCAGAACCTTTTTAACGTCCCACTGCTGCTCCCTTCAACACGAGGGGGATCAGGCCATAGTCCACCCTTGCCAAGTGCAGGTTGTCGGACTTCACTTGTCTTTTGAAAACATGCTGGGTTTTCTCAGACATGCAAGTTTTACTCACGATGCTTTCCTTCACCGTTAAGACAAGTGGTAATCATGTTGGAAATGGTTTGCAAATTAGAATATCAGAGGCGAGACCCGTGATTTAAACCCGCTTCACTCTGTTTCCTAAGCAAGCGCGTTTCCACTGGGCTACCACCGCCTTCACCAAACTAGTGTATTTTAATATATTTTTTACAGAGTACACTGTAATGATTGCTACTGTCAAAACGATGGTACTTTGAGATGTACGCAAAAAGTTTGCTTAACCTATACACAAATCAAAGATTTAGATGCAAGACAAACTTATTTAGAAAAACATGGTCTTTAAATTACAAGGTCTTAATAATATAGTGGTAGCTTAAATAATATGGGATATTAAAATTAGAATCTATGACTAATTATTTGTTTTATTTTACACACATTAATTACTTAAATATATAAAAAAAGCAGTCATGAGGACTGCCGACAGAAGTGAAAACTTAAAACTATAAACAAAACAGTTGTTATTCTTGGATATTCAAATTAATTGTTTAATCTTAAATTAAAATTTGTAAATTAAAACTGTTTACATTTATCTGGTTTTGACATCTATCGGCACTCTCAGTGTTATCGTTAGCACGTCATGTGACCATGTCGATGACGACTTACATGAATTTACTCCCAGCAAACCTGTCTATTTATACCTGTATATTTGGCGTCGACGAGTCTTTGTAGCAAATGTAGCTTGAGTGGCGAGAGTTGTCTGTGTGGCAAAAGTAACTTGGTGGCACATGTAGCCTGAATGGCGAGAGTTGTCTGTGTGGCATCGGTTGGGTTGTGTCGCATCGATTGATTTTTGTAGCACCAACTTAACTTGATTGACATAATATGAAACACTTACTTCTGTAACTTATACTCAATGGTAAGTTGTATTTCAGTCAGTTTAAAAATTAAGTTTTGAGAAATTTGTCTTAAGGATAACTAGTTAGGAAGAATGAATGAAGTATGATGTGAATCGCTCTTTATTGTTAACATATAAAGCTAAATATTTACCCAATACTCATTGTGTTAGGTACATTGAAATTTGACGGTGTCTGTTTGTACTAAGTACACTTTTGCAATATAATATCTACTGCACCGATTATTATATCAGTGAGATTGGCCACTGTGGTCATATTTGGTCAGGATTGGCCGAACAATGTTTTCTAAAAATTTGCTTTTTTCTGTCTACAGATGACGTTTATGCTAGACTTTCAAGATCACACGAGGGCGTGTGAACAGCAGGATGGCCGAGACGGAGGAGGATTTAGTTACCTTTTTCTGTTATGAAACCTTATTATTGTTTAAAGTCACTATGTTCTTTAATTTACTTTTTATTGCTTATTTTGAATTTAGAGCAGAGATTTAGTCTCGAGCGGGGTCGAGACGCCATCACGACATTCTTTGCAGATACGTGGTTTAGTAAAGACGGTTGATCATGGTGTAGCATATAGTTTTGCTTTGATATTGTAGTTGGAAGTCGATGATCGGTGACTGTGAACCCGCTAGCTCTAAATAATTAGAATTACCGTTTCAAGTTTATAACATTGTGACTTCCCTGATTAAATTGTGTATTGAGCACTGAATACTTTATTATTTGAGCCCTGATAACGCCCACAAGATGAGTAACCACCAAAGATGATGTTCGTAGTATATGGATAACACTGTGTATGTATATGTATCTATTTTCACTTCAAAAATTAAATATTATATATATAATTTAATATGAGACCAGTACTTTAAAAAAACATAAAATCAGAAGAGTTATATTATAAAATATCAATAAAGTACGTATTACAATAATAGTTATAAAAACAAAATATTCATGTTTGGATTTAATCATCATAAACCTTGATGACTGAGAAGGGTATGTTATGAAATAAATCAAACACATCTTTTCAAGAATGCATTTTATTACTCAAGTCGCCTTTTAAGCGTGAAATTAGTTTTTAGATTTTACTTATCCTGTTGAAGCTTCTACTTTTGTACTTTACATATCAGGAAATGTTTCAGGGAGGTATATCCTTAGGCTTATTAATACACCTATTTTATGAAATTCATAGTCTTCGTAAGTAGAATCTTCCTTGATTTCATTTCAACTTGAAACTTAATTTAAAAGAGGTAAAAATATTTTAACTTTACTTATAGATGTTTGCGTTCCAAATACTTATTTTGCAATGAACGGTCGTCTCTGCTACTGCAATTCTCAAGGTACATGGACCGAGATGAATTGTAAGGACATAGCTCAAAATCAACACTGTCAGCCAGGTCAGATTATATGGCAAGGCTGTAAGCAATGTGTATGTCAAGCAAACATCCAACTTTTGTGCACAAACGTGTTTTGCCATAGCGATGCTAGGAAAGCTTCAATGCAATCAGCATTCCTTGAGTATGGCTCAAAGTGCTTGCCCTTTCAAACGTACTACGTCAATTGTAGTCTTTGCTTATGCCCAGCATCGGGACAGCCTTTAGATGCACAGTGTGTTCCAGACCCGTCGTGTCCTCTAGAACCATATAATATAGACATAGTAACACTTTTCAAAAGAAACCACTGCATGTCTAAAGTGATATACCTGTTTCCATGTATCCAATGTATTTGTTCTGAAACTGGATTTTTTGTTCCTGATAAATGTATACAAAGATGTTTGCCTCAAAATCAAAGTGTATCTAAATGCAAACCCGGATCTTTATATAAAAATGATCGTAAAGTTTGTAAATGCCCAGATAGCGGCATACGTGATAACAAACTGTGTGTAAAATCTGAACACACCAATGACTCTAGAAATACTAATTTAAATGTCTTAAGAAGTCCTGCAATTCGATGTAACCCAGGCACTTTCACCAAACCCAAATGTTTGTTTTGTGGCTGTAACTCTGAGGATACTATAGACGACGGAACCTGTCTAGAATTGAATTGTACGACGGCATCAAACTTGATGTATTATAATAGTCAGTCAGGAGTTTGTAATCCTGGCGAACTAGTTCCAATTTGCTTGGAATGCTTTTGTTTAAGTCACGGTTTTAGTAATCAAACATACTGCACCAGTACTTGCACTTACGAAAATAAGATTAGAATTTTAGAAAACGTTTTTAGTAAGAGACTGATTGATCCAAACATAATTGACAAAGCGAAAATCAAAGGTATAAATACGAACGACTCATGTAACTCTAATACCGTTTACTTCAATGATGGACGATACTGTTTATGTTCAGGTGACGGTAATGTAGAGTTATATTGTACTTCCATTTTAGAAAATCCTACATTGCAGGCTAAATATTCAGAAAATAGAAATAAAGTTGATTTAAATAAAAGCTGTGAACCTAACACTTTGGTTGATATTGATTGTAATACATGTTATTGCTCAAAGAATGGTAAAATTGATCCAAAATGGTGTACTTACGATGATTGTGAAGCCAAACGATTAGTTGTAGAGTCGCATAAATCTCACAATGTTCATGATTCCATTGAAGAATCAACTGGGGTTTGCACTCCGGGCTCTATATCTACAGTGAAATGTAATTTTTGCATATGTCCAGAAAGTGGAGTTTTGAAAGAAAGAGCATGTACCAAAAATAGTTGTTATGACTATATTGATGTCACTGACAGCAAATTGACTTGTGAACCCCTGGCTTATTATGAAGTAGACTGCAACATTTGCTACTGTCCTCGCGATGGACTGAAGAATGTAGACAAATGTACGAAAAACCAATGTGAAAAAAGTTTCTTAAGATCTACCACATGCGTACCAGGAAATCTCTTCAGTGATGATTGTAACGTGTGTGTTTGTCCCCCAAATGGCGACAAAGCAGACAAAGTTTGTACAAACCATACATGTCGTGTTCCATCCTGGAGCGCTTTTAAACTATCAGAAAGCTTATTAGATAACCAAGTGAAAGACGAATCCAAGCGGAGTTTGGATTTATGTTTTCCTGGAGAAGAATTTGCGATGGGCTGTAATTTATGCGTTTGCTCAGAATTGGGGTTAAAGACATATGCAAACTGTGAACCAATGTTATGTGATGATGATAGAGAAAGTCAAAATAGGAACCTATCGTTGGATAATGACAGAGAGAATGAGGTACATTTCAAAATTTCAACTACCCTAACGTAATATTGTTTGAATATTTTATCTACATCAGTTAACTGAGCTATTGTTTGTAAACTGTTGTTCTAATTAAAACTTTTCAAGATTCACGCGAATATTTAACATTTTAAATAAAACTATTTGTTATCATTTCATTAGATTTGATTTTATAGGAGAAGACAATATCAACTCATTTCCTCAACAAATCGAGGCATCCTCGTACCCGTAGAGACTTACACGATAGTTGCTTACTTTACAATGTATCTCGCAGCAGTGAAAGAAAAGAATGTACTCCTGGATCCATGTACATAATTAGGTAGGATGAAGTAACACATATATGGAATAATGGATGCATCCTTAGGTGCCTAACATTAGCCTATGTCTTAATCAGGTCACAGTCTGTGCGTCTTTAATTATTACATAAAATGTATACATATAATAAAATTGTAACTAGCCGAATCTGTACATTAAATATTTTTTTGGAAAATCTTATTGAAATAGACTTTATTATCGATACAGAGGCCGAATCTATAGTTTTTAGAATTTTTGTCTGTCTGTCTGGCTGTTACCGCATCACAGAACAACTACTGGAGGGATTTTGATGAAATTTGGTTTGGTGATAGCTGGATATCCGGATCAATATATAGGATACTTTTTACCGCGGGAAAATATCTCATTTCTGAGAAAAAATACAAAAGCTGCTGCGTAAGAGTATACTCATGTGTCATCTAAGAATTTGGTTTTTGGTCATCTGAACGCGGGCGGAGCCGCGGGCAATGCTAGTATTTAATAAATTACATTCAAAAATATTAAATTTCATCTAAATATCCACCTGTTTCACTGTAAAATTCTAACGAACATGCACAAACTTTCGCATTAATAATGATAGTACTAATTGCGATGAAAATTTTTATTGCTAAATTAATAATTTTTAAAGTGTACCTAATTTAATACTTGAATAAAATTAATTTTCATTTCAAAACTTGAAGGAAAGAACTATTTAGAATTATGACACAAATTTTATTCGCAGGTGCCGACAATGTATATGTCCATATGTTGGCAATATAAATAATTTTTGCAGGCCGCTGCCTAAAGATGTTTATTGTGAGAAGGCTTTCCCAGAGTTTGATTATTTACCTATGGGACGGCGACATGGTAAAAATATATCTCGTTTCTTTCTCTTTCTCTCTTCTTTTTGTTTTTCTCTACGAAATAGAGTCATATAACATAAGAAATCCTAAATCTGGTAGCCGTCTCAAAAGTTTAAATATTGCACGTTGTAACGTTATCATTCCGCGTAATCTAAAAATAACCTTTGGCGAAAATCAAACTCGTGATCTTGCAATAGAGCTATTGTTAGTCTACGTCATGATGGCGACGGGAACCAGATGCGATGTTTTATACATAATGGTGCTAAAAAAACTATGTAGTCATTATAAACAAGGTAGTCATTTTCTTCATTCAAACCAATACCATTTCGTAGATGTAATGACAATTTATAATCTCTATTCGCTGCCAGAAAGTATATGTGGATAGTTTTAATGAAAACTGTCTATACGTACGATAATATATATGTTACTGCCTCGGTGGTGTAGTGGGTAGCATGTACGGCTGCACACCCGGAGGTCCTGGGTTCGAGTCCCGGGTCGGGCCAAGTTTAGTTATTGTGTCTTTCTGTATATTAAGCCTCAGTAACAGCCCGGAGTTGGGAAGTTGTCGGTGCGTCAACCCCGTGCCTCGGAGAGCACGTAAAGCCGTCGGTCCTGCGCATTAACTCTCACTGGTCGTGTCGAGTGGTCGTCCCACCAGAGTATGAGAGTGACAGGAATAGAGAGTGCACGTTGTGTCTGCGCGTACACTTGTGCACTATAATATCTCCTGCGCAGTTGGCTAGTCTCAATGAGATTGGCCGTCGTGGCCGGAATCGGTCAGGAGAACATCATCATATGTATGATATAGATTTTTAATAATTTTCTTATTCTAGTTAATAATTCGGCATTACAAACAGAATCCAAAAATAGAACAAGAAAGCATGTAACAATAAAAGTGAAACACACGAGCCACACAACCTATAAATGTGAAAAACCTGGGAATATTGAAGATGAGTGTTTCATTTGCGAATGTAATAACGGTGTTATTATTCTGGAACACTGCTTTATAAGTGATGCGAAAAACTGCATTGATGCAAAACCAACTTTCGTTTTAAATAAACCTAATTGAGTTATTGGTAATTTTAATCTATATTAATATTATAAAGAGGTAGTTTGTGAGTTTGTGACGTTGTAGGGGATAATCTCTGGATCTACTGAACCGATTTAGATAAAATTTGGTAAGAAGATCGTTTGAGACCCTGGGAAGCACATACTTTTTATCTTGGAAGTTATCCCTTAAGGGGGTGAAAATGGGGATGAAAGTTTGTACTGGGAAGCGAGCTAGGAACGAACCCAAGCGAAGCGATGGTGAATCGCTAGTTATTTAATAAGCGATATGTCTTCGATACTGAGTGCCTAATAACGTACTTTTTACTCTTGCTCACATTCTATCTGTGTACTAAACATCCTAATCAGTCTAGCTCTTTCTATGTGAAAGAGTAACAACATACACACATACAAACATTCGCATCTATAAAACTGTTATTAAATGTTATTTTCAAGAAAAACCATTGTTTTCGAATTCGTTTTAATTTTTATCGCTGATGGAAAAGGAAAATATATGGGAGTGACATATTGATCACATACATTTAGATATTACCCTTTTGTTTATTATTTTTTGTTAGCGCTATCGATTGTAAAACTTGGGGTTGATCTAGTTCGCTAAAGACACAGCCTAAATCCATAATTTAATGTTATAAATTTGAAAGTGTTTGTTTGTTTATCCTTTTCATTCACGTCGAAATAGATTGACGGATTGGCGTGATTTTTTTGTGTGGAAATAGTTGGAGAGCTAGGGAGTGACATAAGCTACTTTTTACCGCATGAAATTATCTCACGGGACGTTATAATACAACCTAAAAAATCATAATCAGAATTATTTGAAACTTGGTATTAATGCTCTTCAATACAATTAAATAAATATGTGTTTTAGCATTTTTCGAATTTCAACCTAATAGGGGGATAGAATAGGGGATGAGTTTTAGTGCGAGCGAGGCCGCGAGTTCTGCTAGTTAATAATACATGGTCTGTGTTTATACTATAGATAAACTCTTTTGTGCGAGCATATTACCACAGTCTATTAATCCATACAGTAGTCCGACAAAAGCCTTTACAGTCTGCACTTGACAACTCCTCTATAATGCGAGGTGAGACGCAAATAATACGATAGGGACTTGTCTTAAGTATTTTTATATGACATTCGGTTATAGGATTCATAGGTATATCTATACATATAATAAAATTTTAACTGAGTCGAATCTGTACATAAAATATTTTTTGGACAATCTTATTGAAATAGTCATTATTATTGATACACAGGCCAAATCTATATAGTTTTTAGAATTTTGTCTATTTGTCTGTATGTCTGGGAACGCATCAGGAGAAAACCAATGGACAGATTTTCATGAAATTTGGTATGGTGATAGCTGGTTATCCGGGTCAACATATAGGATATTTTTTACCGCGGAAAAATATCTCATCTATGAGAAATCTATACTAAACATTAAAACGTATACTACTACTAAACTAAACTAAACCTATATTACTGTGTATGTATATAACTGTAACTTGCTACAAGATTGATTTGCACTACGGTGCTTTAACTTAGAAACCGCTCGCCATGAAATTGGTATCATTTTAAAAAATCTTTTATTTGAAATTAATGGGAGAGACTCGTTAGCTAAAAGTCAATAACCACTTAGGTCGAAACACAAAGTGTGGAGGCCCGGGCCAACTAAGGAGTGAAGGCCCCTAATAAAAAGAAATTATTGAAGATATATTTTGTTTTCATTTTATCTTTATTTTATTTATTAACCGACTCCCAAAAAGAAGGTTCTGAATTCGTCGGAATCTTATCTTTTTTTTTTTAATTGAACAAGTACCTAAATTTTCTATTTTCTTATTTGGAAAAAGACCTATATTTTGTACGAGAATTACATAAGAATAAATATTTTTCGAAATAATAACATTTATAAGTATGTATGTAATATTTTTATTTCTGGCTGTGATGATATCTCGATAATTTTTGATGGAAACCGATTACAAATTATTATTATTTACAAGATTTTGTTACTTAGGTCTTAGCCTTCTCTGTTCCTTTTTGATACTAAATTCAATTATAATGTTTTTAATTAAAAGTATGGTATTTTTCTTCGTACGTTATTTCCATATGTATGGATTTTTAGTAACATTCTGTGTCTGACATAAAGAGGCTTTGTTAGTCACCTAGTTGTCAAAGTTGTTATACTACCAACATTTTTTTTTTAATTTTAGATAGTTTCGATATAAATGTTTAAAAAAATTACTTACAATAAGTATTAAAACCAACGATTCATGTCGTTTAATTAATTCTGTAAATATTTTTTCACACCATGATCGCCGTTAGCTTTATTTTTATTTTTTTCAATGATTTCATTTTGGAGGCAAAGTCGAGTAAGTTATTAATTTATATATATTTTTAATTATATCACACCAGGAGAATCCCATTTACGGGCCCTTATAACTAAGAACCCAATAAACATAAAAAAAATCTATTTTTTATTATTCCATTAAAATCTTAATTTTATTTTAAAAAAATGTATTTTTCGATATTGCTTAGTGCTCATATTATAAAAGATAACATAAAACGTGTAAATTTCAGCTCCTCTTCTATGGCTTAATAATAATTTTAATCTAAAATGTCAGCCAAATAAAGTATATAAAACAAGTGATGGCAACTGTCTTTGTACTGAAAAGGGAAATTGGCCTAACGAACGTTGTCGCTTATACTTCCAAGACCAGCATACTAAGCTAGACTGTGAACCAAATAAGTATGTTATTATTGACTGTAATATTTGTCGATGTGGGGTTGATGGCAAAATAGATAAAAACCAATGTACAAAACATTTATGTAGTACACAAAGATCTAGAAAATCTAACACAAATGGTGATTGTGAGCCTAACATGTGGTACTCGTTGTCTCCTTGTCGTTTATGCTATTGCGTAAATAAACATAAATTGATTTGTAATCATAATGATGGCAGCCCAAAAGTTAATATCGGCAAATATGAAGCAAATTCCTGTGGCAAAATGTTATTGAACGATCTAAAAGATTTAGTACCTATTGAATATAAAAAGCTAAATGTTAGAGACAATAAACATAAGATTTCTAAAAAGAAGAAATCAAAAAATTATTCAGTTGAAAAAAGAGGAAAATCATCCAAAAAAAGTAAACGCAATAAAAAAACTTGGATAAACAATAAAGATAAAGATTCGAATTCAGTTGGTGTTGCAAGCACTATATCAAATGATAAAAACGATAAAATATATGATACAAATTACTTATATAATATAAAGAATAATCCCAAACATACAGATTTTGGATCCGATATTTTTATAAGCAAAGAAATAAATTGGAGTGATGAAAGTTCCAAAATAAACAAAAGAGATAAGTTAGAACTGAAATTTCCCGACTTTTTGAGTCTTGTCATGCGAAAATCTATGGTTTCCCTCGATTCGGGAACTCATTGCAAGCCAGGCACTACTACGAAAGTGGAATGTAATATGTGTTATTGTTTAGTTAATGATAGAATGCTCTGTACTAAGAACGCTTGTTAATAAAAAAATGTTTTTTATAAATGTATTTATTATCTTCTAGATTTTTTGCAAAAGAAAAGAAAACAAATAATATACCTGTCACAATGGTTTATTCTATTTTTCAACGATTTATAGATTTATCTTTCACAAATATCTACCAAGTATACTTACAATATACTTTTAAATATTCCTATTAGTTTACTTTATAGGAATAATAATAATAATTAATAATAATAAGATCTAATGAAATATGTCTTTTGTATCAATAATTATATTATTATATAGGTATATATATGCCCCATATTTTGGCAATTTTTACTATTAGCTGCAAACCCACATATGTGTTACTCCAGGTCATAGACCACACTCCCTCTCCTCCTCCCATATGTCCCCCATGTGTGTATCTAGCCGGGCGTGACTTGACATGGTGATCTTCTCTGATAGCAGAGTGAACGGTCGGAACACCCCTTAGTTGTGTGGTCTGCTTCGGCAGAGCTGCCGTCGGGGCGTCGTGGTAAAGTGCGTAAGTGATCCTGCGATGCCCCCATTAAGACGGGGGAGCTTATGTTGGGTTTTAGTGGGTAGTACTGGCTTCTCTTAAGCCGATGAGTTCCATATAACCACCTGTATGTATACAGGTGGTATGCGTAAATGCATTTCCCAACATTGAAAAAAATTATAGTCTGTACAAAATTTCACCCAAATCTGTGCAGTCTTATCAGGGTGAACAACTAACATACACACTTACAAATTTTCGCATTCATCATAATTGGAGTCCAATTAGGTATGTATTTAAATCATTATTTTTATTCTTACCAAAAATTATTTTGTTATTAAATAGATAAATATAGCCACTATTCCACGCGGACATGGCTTGTACAGTAATAACTGAGTGTACATTTGTTTTGTATATATAATTTAGTATATTTGGAATTTTCTTTATTGTAAATAATAAATAAATATATTAAGTTTAAAAAAAATATAGCTAGCCTCTTCGTTATACCTTTTCAATTGCATCCATTTCAGTTGTTTTATGTTGCATATAATACTTACTAGTTTTTATTTAATTAACTTTGGGTAATTGCCATTAAATTTCTAATTAACATTTTATTGTTGAAACCTAATTGGGTTTGAACAATAAAATGGCTTAGTAAAAAATATTTTTTTTGACTTTATTAGCTATAAATTTCTTTCATCATATGATGATTATTAACTTGCTTATATACTTTTAATATGTGTTAAAATATATAAAAGAATAAATTATAATTAAATATAATGTTATAATGATTCGGGAGTGTATAATTTTATTTTGTTATCTAAACAACGTTCTTATGTATAGGCATGAAAACCGTAAGTATTAAATATACTAGCGACTCACCCTCGCTTCAATTTTTTCAATTCAATTAATTCCCCATACAAACTTTTATTCACATTTTCATCCCCTTAAGGGATGATTTCTGGAATAAAAATATGTATCCTTTGTCCTTCCCAGGGTTTAAAACTATCTAATTACCAAATGTCATCTAAATCGGTTCAGTAGACACAATCTCACAAACTTTACCTCTTTATAATGTTAGTATAGATTTTACTAATATCTTGTTTTTAAATAAAACTATCTTTTCGGATTATTTCGCGGATTTATTTTGATTTTTGCGGCGGGCGTAAATATATAATTCAAGGAAGTTCATAAAGTTTTTAATAATAACAAAACTATGCGTTTTCTATAACGTATACACTTTACATTTTCAAAATGTGTAATTATTTTAATAATACGAAGGAAATACCTAAAATCGCACGCGTTCCGTTCATCCTAGCCACACCCCCTCCTGCTCGGTGCCCTCTTAAATTACCACTTCTGTCAGGCGTCCCGAGACGCACACGTTTTATTTAATTATATATCAATATAATATATATATTTTCGTACATTATTATAGTGCTCGCAGAAAAAATATGGAGTGAGCGATGCAAAAAAAATTCTGTTCTTCTAAATGATTGTAACTGGTGTTGGTGCGACCGGAACCAGCGCTATCAGTGCAAAGCTCGTGTTTGTGAGGAAATCGATATGTTTGGACATTTTAAAGGTAAAATACAGAATATATATGAAATATTTAATGCTAATACTATATTCGCTTCACTCGGGTGCGTCCCTATGTAGTACATACATATATAGAAGAAGGGCGCCATTCAAGTATTACGTAAGCACCAAAGGGGGAGGGGGGTCTTTATTTGCTTATTTTTGATGACATGGTGGACGGGTGGAGGAGGGAGGGTCTGGATGGTGGTTACGTTAGCAATATACAGCATAATATGTATATCAATATGTATACATAGTACATACGTAAAAATTTAACATCTATAATATAGTAAGTGATTACTCAAAAGATTATTAAGACTATGATAATGACGACTAAGCCATTTGATTTTAATATTATTTCTTAATAGATGCAATTCGAGACATTGATGTTGGTATGGAAGGACATGGTTCATGGCGATCGACACAATCACCATGTACTCCAGGAGTTCATTACCAGCGAGGAGCTACCTTGTGCATCTGTGATGAAGATGGTAACTGGCCTAATCCAGTCTGCAGGGATCTCTTCAGAGTTCTCCACCCCGTCGAAGTTACTGGGCGAACAAATCTGACTGACGACTATAATTGTGAACCATTAAAGCTATATCTGGTGGGTTGCAATGTATGCCTTTGTCCTTCTATAGCTGTTTTAGACCCTGCATTTTGTACGAATAAAGAATGCCCAAAAGATGATCCAGTACTTGAAGTGAAAGAGGGTCCTCCAGTTGTGATGACCCCCAAAATTGAAAATATAACTGATCTAGAAGTTTACGCTGCGTGCAATTCAAATTTCGACTATGAAATTGGCTGCAGGAAGTGTCACTGCCTTACAAATAATAGGCTACTTTGCTCTAGATGTTCTGAGGAGCAGCTGCCGTATACGGAATTGTTCTATAAAACGAGTGAAAGAAAAAGAAAAAAGATAAACAATAAAAAAAAGGAAAAAAATGAAAAAAATAAGGTAGAATTAAAATCACAATGTGACACAAAAGAGGTGAACTCTTTTTTTTTCTTAGATTGCAATGTATGCCATTGCGATGAACAGTCTAATGTGTATTGTACAACACGAACTTGCATTAAAGAACCGCGTAAGCAACTTAAAGCTTTATTTACAGTTGCCAAAAAGCATAAATTCAAAGAAGTGAAAAAGCCAGTAGATATCATAAACTGTATTCCCGGAACTTTTTTCAAACAGGACTGTAACACGTGTACATGTTATCATAGCAAAAAAGGTCGTAAATTAATTAATTGTACCGTCAAGAAATGTCCAAACTTTAGTCCAATAGACGCTCAAAAATTGGATTGCGTCGTAGGAACGTTTTATGAAATGAATTGTATGATTTGTTCTTGCGTCCTTAAAAATAAATCAAAACGTCAAGTATGCGAAATATATCCACATTGTGTAAAAGGTTCGGGGACTAAATTTCAGCACTTGAAAGGGACTGAGTTAAAACCAGAAGATTCTTTACATGGTTACTGTGAACCAATGCATAGATACAAAAAGGGTTGCAATACATGTCGCTGTTTGTCAGATGGTAAAACCCTCATGTGTACGTCTAAAGTTTGCGTTAAACGCTCTTCGGATTCCATATCGATCGATCTAGTTCCAGTGCATATGAATACGAATGAAGCTTGTCCTAGAGGACATTCTTATAAATTAGATTGTAATATATGTTTCTGTCTGTCAAATGGCAACGCCATCTGTACGACTGCACAGTGTAATGAATGAAAATGGTTTTAAAATAAAAGAAATTCATTTTTTTAGCCATGCTTAGTATTATTTACTTTTATCTCTACTTATATAACTTATTATTATTATTATTAAATAGCAACAATAATTTAATTTTTTTAAAAGTTTAGGAGTTTTTGAACTTTAAATACATGAGAAATTAATTTCTCTTTCTTTATTATCTCAATAATGAGAGTTACAATGTTTTTTTTTGTCAGGATTATGTGATACTTTTTATCTACTTGCATCCGAATCACATGAGTTTTCACGAAATTTTAAATTAAAAACAAAATCGTGCAGACTATGACACTACGGACAACTTCTATGGTAATCCTTTATTTTGTTTAGGAATTAGATTTTGTTCTACTTTATTATCAAATTTTTAAAAATACATTTTTTTAATATATAACATTAAAAACCTGTTACTGCAAAGGTAGTTTATGCGAATAATCATATTGCTCACTTGGTCAAAGGTATAAAATAATATAAATGCTTCGAATTTAATATCACTTGTATGGGATATTTTCTAAAGGTAAATAAAACATCACAAAGTAAGTTATACACAATCATTTACTTTATAGAATTGTTCTTCATTTTTCAAACAAGTTGTCTTTTGTCACAAAATCGCTTTTCAGTAATCACTGAAAAGTATACATAAAATTACACTAAGTTGTGCTTAAACAATTAATAATCAAATAAAATAAATAACAAAATATATAAAATAACATATTTCACATACAGTAAGTACTCTTCGACACTATATTATAATTTATATATATATATATATATATATATATTATATATATATATATATATATATATATATATATATATATATATATATATATTAATAAATATTAAATAAAAATAAATAAGTTGTTTTATATGTATGTATATTATTATTATAATTTACCGTTATATAATTTGTGAATTCAACATTTTTATTAACTAATCTACTGAAAGGCATATTTTTTAAATTTAAAACCGTAAAATATTTTATTAATTATTATTTTGTAAAAAAGCTCTAACAACATTTTACTATTGATTTAAAAACTTTTAGACCGCGATTAGAATATTCTTAAACATGGTTATATTTAGGGTCGATCCATATTTTATCACAATCTTATGTCGATATGAAAATATTTTAAAAGGTAAATATGATTTTTGACATAAATAAACAGGTTACAGATTATGATAAAAATAAATTGGAAGATATAATGGATATGTATTTAACAGATTTTGACAATAGCTATCGAATAAGATTTCTTTTAATTATTGCAAACCTTAGACAAGTGTGACTTTCTACAAACGATATCGCTAATAGAAAATAAAAAAATATGGATACATTCAGATCACGTAACATTACGCTTAGATATATTATTTCCACCCATTTTTTTGCTTCATTAGCGACAGCAATTATAGAATCACATCATCGTCAAAAATGACTTTCGCTAACTGCGTTGCTAGTAGGTAAAAATACCAATAAAAAAATCACGGTTCAAAGGATTACAACAAATAAAGTTTCATATTAAATTTATTTTACGGATTAAATTATTTAATCCAGTCCTCTCTATGAGGAGATTTATTTTCGAATACTTTTAAGCAGAAATGGTCGATTTTTTTTGTAGGTATATGAGAATTAGAGATTCTGGTGAAGATAGTAAGTAACAAGAGTAAATTTAAAATTATATATGTTAACCGTTTTTTTCAATTTCTCGGCTTATTTGAAACAAAAAAAATGTAAAATAAGTTATCGACAATTAATTATTTAAAGCAAAACAACATCTCACAAATAAAAAAGATGGGTTTCTTTTAAAATTTTGCGACCACAAAGTAAAACGAATTTATAGCTTCGTTTAGTTTTTAGGAATAGAATATAGCTATTTAATTAATAAAAACAAAAAATAAAATAAAAATAATAATCGACATTTTCAGACATCTTTCTCATCATCATGAGTCATCATGACACTGCTCGTCGAGTCTACCGTGATAATTAACTACATATTTGCATTAGCTATTCGAAACAATTATTTATTATTTGCAATAGCTATATTTAAAAGGTTACTATTTTGTGCAGTAAATAGGAAGAGTGCGTAAAGATTTTATTACCTTAGTACTAAATATTTTAATTCTTCATTCATTCTAACATACATTGGACTAAGGAATCAAACTAAGAGAATAAAATAGATAGATCCTATAGAGTATAGAACAATCATTAAAAAAAAATTAACTGTCAATGTCAAAATTCATATGTCAAATGTTTCTAATGAGGGCTACCGTGCCACCAGCACTAGTTGGCGCCACTGACGAGTGAGGTCCTATGGCTTTCATTAATAATGTATTTAATTGTGTGGCAGGGTCGTGAATTTAATATATTAATCATAATAATTGTAAGCGCGGCACCAGTTAACAGGATTTTGTTTTAAATTATTAACATATAATAACCGAATATATAAAAATATTGACTTTTTCTTAGCTCTTCTTTTAAAGCAATAACATTTATTGAGTCGTACCGTGTCTGTTATAATTAATCAGGAATAGCCAAATATTTACAATAATCAAGAATAATTAATTATTATAGATCTGCGATGAAATAAGTTCGCAACAGTCAACATTCAGTCATTTGACATTTCTAGAGACCTCACTCTACACTAGTGCCTCGCGGCGAATTCAAATGCGGTAATCCTCATCGTAATGTTTAATATTTTCATGAGTCTACTTTAGTCTTAGTCTATGAAGTTCTTGAACTTCATGTCCGACGTAAAAGAGTAAAATGTGAACAAACACAAGTATTCTTTTGAACTGCCAGATATTTAGAATAACAAATTCTATTTTATTTTGTAAATAAAAATAATAGATACGAGTATATCACGTACATATAATCCAAGATGGCGGTGATTTTGTTATTCGATATTCGTCTCACAAATCTAACTGTGCTGTTCTTCTTCATCTTCTCTTTCTAAGAGAAGAAGTGCGTAATTAAAAATGTTTAATGGCAAATATATTAGCATAGTTTAGAAAATTCTTGTAGGAATATCAAAAAATCCAAATCCAATTTTTTTTTAATGGAACATACAATAATAAAAAACACGCCATCTTAGATTAACTCAAGTGACTTATTCTTTATACATTTATTATTTTTTAAACTTCATAGAAACATTCAAAAACATGTATGTCATTTTTAAGGAATTATATTAAAACTAAACTTTTTATTTCTGCTTCATTGTCTTAATAAAGAATTTAGAAAAAAACCATTTTCTATCTAATCTTCTTCAAAATTTCATTGTACCAGGCTCCCATAACTTAAGAGAAGACATCGTTAACTTGTCTACAGCATCTTATGAAGGTCGCTCTTCGAGGGAGTTCTCTCAATCGAGCCGCCCCCACATAAGTACAAGCAGATCTAAGACCACCTAGAATATCTTTTACTGTTACTTCAACGTCACCTCGGTAATCGACTTCCACTGTTTTACCTATAAAGAGAAATAAAATTCATAAAATTAATACCTTAGTGTCGTTTGCGTTTTAAAATAATTTAGTTTTTACAACGAGGGGTTTTAGACAAGTCGACATTCTACAATCGAAAACGGTAATCTATACTTCTATACTATATCTATACTAATAAATGGAGAGCCGATTTTTTTGTTCGGTTATACTGCGATAACTACTGAACCGAGCGAAATAATAAGTACTCATACCATAAGATGCAGCGTGTTTCGGAGATGGTTTAGTATATGATATGTTGGTTGGCGATTAATGTACTATGCGGGCGGAGCCGCAGGAAAACGCTAGTAATTTTATAAATGCGAAAGTTTGTGAGTATGTAATTGTATGGATGTATAGATGTATGGATGTTTGTTACTCTTTCACGCAATAAGTAATGAATGGATTTTAATGAAACTTTACAATAATATAGCTCATACATCAGAATAACACATAGGTTATTATCGATGTAGTGACAGACAACTATATAATGCCTTTGAGACATCTTAAGCCTTAGTCTCTCCCATGACCATGATTGCTGTAAAGCATTCGAAACGTCGGGAACCAAAAAATGAAAATAAATGCATGAAAAAAATCAAATTTTATAATTAAAACTTTTAACAACCACATGACACTTACCTTCAGAAGACCTATAATCCGCGATACCACCAGAATGTTTCAGCATAGCCGTGGACGAGGACATGCCATAGAACAGTTTCACTTTCTTCCCATCAGGTTTGGTGACCACCTCCCCCCCGCACTGGTCGTGTCCCGCGAACATCCCCCCTGCCATCACGAAGTCGGCACCAGCCCCGAATGCTTTCGCTACATCCCCTGGACATGTACACCCGCCATCCTGTTAGAAAAACGTATATTATATTTATTACTACCGTTTTTTAATGATGAGGAAGGGATTTAAGCATACATATAGGCATATATATAAGCATATATAGGCAAAGCATGTATAGGCATACATGCAGGTGGTTATGTGGGACTAACTGGATAGAAAAAGTACTACCCACTAAATTCTAACAATGCCACAAGCAATATCAATTTTTCACGAATTCCAAAATGTTTCAACTTTTGAAATAATTTAATTAAAAAAAACAGGTAATTACCGAAATAATATGTCCTTTCAAGCCGTGTGCAGCGTCCGCGCACTCTATGACGGCGGACAGCTGAGGGTACCCCACGCCCGTCTTCACCCGCGTCGTGCACACTGAGCCCGGCCCGATACCGACCTGCAATTTAAAATAATATGTTACCATGATTGCTGTAAAGCATTCGAAGCGACTGGAATCAGAAATCAATATATATCCGCAAAAAATCCGAAAAAATATACAATTAGCGTCTCAAAAGTGTCATCAAAAAAGTGCACGTTTCGAAATTAAATTGCGCTTTTATCAAATCTCTTTTGTTCATGCTTTTCTGACAACAAAATTAAAACACACATTGTTTCGTTTAAAAAGCTACTTTATATAATGTGCGTAAGATCGAATTTGTGTTTAGACAATTAGAGCTTTCGATTTTTGAATTTTATTCTTTGGTTTGACTGAACGTCATATTATGTCGACGACACTTTTTGAAGAGATATTTGTTGAGAAATATGTCTCTATATTTTTATACATCAATGCTTATTTATAATAGATATTATAATTATTTTTTCGCTTCAATCCCTTATTTTCTTGTAGATTTATAATTTAATTTAAGATTTATAATTAAATATGAGGACTTAGGCAAGATATCAATTTACAATCTCTATTGTAGTCTAATCTTGTTGAGGAATAAGAAATTGGTGGTAACACACGGACAGACAGATGGATAGATGGACAGACGGACAGACGGACAGACGGACAGACGGACAGACGGACAGACGGACAGACGGACAGACGGACAGACGGACAGACGGACAGACGGACAAGAAAGTGATCTTATAAGGGTTCCTTTTTACCTATTAACGTACGGAACCCTAAAAAAGAGGCATAACGTTAAATTTATAATTTCTAAACAAATTTTTAAAATTTTTAATATTCAACTTTATACACGAACCATATGTTATTTAGACAGTAATCATACTTGAGAAAAGAAAAATACTTAGCGAAGATATTGCGTAACAAAACAAAAAATTCGGCCAAAAATCAATTACAAAGTATAAATAGTTAAAAACACCGAATACTCTGATAGATTGGTTATTAAAAATGCGGTCTACAAGAAAATAAGATATAAAGTAAATAATATAAAAAAAACATGACCAAATCATGGCACGTATTAATATGAATTTCAAAAAGAAAGATGGCGATAAAGAAAATAAATATATTACATTTAGATTTAATTCCAAAATTACAGACTAACGATAACATCTTTTATTACAAACAAATTTAAAACAATAAAAAAGTAATCATTGAAATAATTTACCAAATACAGTAATAACTTAGATATAAGTTTCCTCGGTTCAATAAATTGCTTGAAATACCGTACCTTTATAATGTCAGCACCAGACAATATTAGCTCCTCCACCATTTCGCCGGTCACAACATTACCCGCCTAGAACCATATAAAACCTTGTTAGTCGTAGGATGACGTCATAAAATCAATTTTGTTTGTTTACTGTGTGGCTTAGGTTTATTAGACTGTAGGGCAAATAAAATATACAATCTTGCCAATAGATACTACCTTCTTCTTTCTATACGTATGCGTATTGGTTTCGTTCGTAAACATTAAACATGATTTATGCTGAAGTTCTTGAGACTAGTTAATTATTACTTGACGGATAATGATTACACTTAGCTGTTTTTAATATGATTATTTACAAACATGTCGCAGCACAATTGTTTTATGAAATAATTTGTTTATATAACTCCGGGATGATACTGGGACTTTCTTAACACTAAAACTCAATAACTAAACTTGGCCCGACTCAGGACTTGAACTCAGAACCTCTGGAAGTACAGCCATACATGCTAGCCACTACACCACCGAAGCATTATATAATATATAACAAAAGTAAAAGTATATAAAAAAAGCGAGTGTGTTTGTTTCTTTTTTTATGCTATAACAGCTTAACTAATTTGGGTAAAATTCGAAATAGAAATAGCTTATTATATCGTGAATTAACACATTGATTTGCTTTTTATTTATATATGTCTACGTACCATGCCACCGAAGTCGCGATTTAACATACAAAAATAATAATAATTCAGAACTTTTATTGTCCCGCAGCTGAGCGCGGGTCTCCCACTCCAATATAAGGGGGATCAGGCTATAGTCCACCACACTACCATTTGCCGGTGGCGGACTTCACACATATTTCCGAAACTAGTTAAGTCTTCTCAGACATGCAGGTTTCCTCACATGTTTTTCTTTACCGTAAAATCAAATGATAATTGTTGGAAATGTCAGAGATGCAAGACTCAGAACAGAAATAATAGCTCAATGCCAATACGCTCACTGAAATATCCAAGTGAAACGAGTTCAAATCCACGAGTTGATACTATTGTAAAAATAACTTACAATAATTGTGTGTGAAGGAAACCCAGCTCGCACTTTGCGCACGTATTCAACAAAATGCTGAGAATATCCGTTGGCTACGTCGAGACAAACGAATTTGAGGTCTTTCACATTGTTCAAGATTTCCGAAAGTCGGTCGAAGTCGGTTTCAGCTGTGCCTGAACTTGCCGCTACAAAACGATTATCATAAATTATTATCATTTTCATTCATTATATATACTATATTGCATTGTTAAGAAAAAACCAAAATAAACATTTATTTTAAAAATATTCTTATTCTAAAAATAAAACCTATTCTAAAAACAACAATACGTACCCATTTGTTCTAAGCATTCTGGATTTTCTTCTGCGAATTTTTTCCATTCTTCCAATGAGTAGTATTTGTGAATGCATGTGAAAAGCCCGTGCTGAAAAGATTTTTTTTCTTAGATAGAGACTTAGACATATACATACCTAAGTATATGTTGAGCATTTCGCTTAAAATAATTTAAATTTTTGACTTATGTTACCTTTGAAATGGATTTAGGAAGGGGAAGTTGCGTATTTTTTGATATTTTTCGAACATTTACAACTTTATCACTATTTTATCAATAGCTGAAATTGTAATCTATACATACAATAAAATTCTAACTAGGCCAAATCTGTACATTAAATATTTTTTGGAAAATCTTATTGAAGTAAACATTATTATCGATACAGAGGCCAAATCTATAGTTTTTAGAATTTTTGTCTGTCTGTTTGTCCGTCTGTTACCGCATCACGGGAAAACCACCGGATAGATTTTGATGAAATTTGGTATGATGATAGCTGGTTATACGGGTTATACTTTTTATTGCGGGAAAGTATCTCATCTCTGAGAAATCTATACTAAAAGTTAAAACGTAAGTAGGGACGAACCCGAGCGGAGCGAGGGTGAGTCGTTAGTCTATTATATAAATATCTCATGTCACGATGTTTATGGAAGCACCCCTCCGAAACGGCTCGACCGATTTTAATATTTTTTTTTGTATGTTTAGTAGGCATAAGAATAGGTCGTAAAATATTTTTCACCCACACACATTTAGGAACCCCACCCTCAATTCTTTGATCGCGATTTTAATATTTTTGTATATTACGTAGGATTTCTTTGATTATTTATTTATAGGTATAGCAGAAAAACGTTTGCCAGGTCGTAGTATATGTATTTACAAACTAAACTTACAATGTTTACAATTAACATTTTAACCTCATTTTACTATTTTAACGGAAGCTTACTTTGTATTTTTGTTCTGGGAATTGAAATAGAATCTAGAATGTTTTAAAATTTAACAACGGACAAACATAAACATATTGTGAATTATAATAAACAATTCTCCACTTAAAATAACATTGTAACTCAGTATTGAGATAATATACCTATTAAAGATGAAATTTAAAATGGCTGCAAAAATTAAAATATCATTGGAATATTGTTTTAAAGCATAGTTGCTTCTTTAATTATAACAAGAAATGAACAATTCTTGTATATATGTATTATGTATGTATGTACATATATAAAATTTCGTCTATCTCGAAAACGGCTGTAACATTTTGATTCAAATTTTGCATTTAGTTAAGGCTTAGCTTTTTAAGTTTATGTAAATGGGGGTCTTTTATGAAAAAAAACTCAATTGTTCACAATTTTTTTTATTAGAGCCTCTTTCGATATGCTCTTATGCTGACAATGTCATATAGTGTCTCGTAAATTTTTGTGGTAGTGTACTTGCAATCAAACAAAAGGAACGAAAATAAAAATACAGGAAACGAAAGGTCCTCATTTATTTGCCGACTAAACACGAAATTGCGAGAACCACTTGACCTATCGAACTCTTTGACAAGTGGAGACGTCAGCTTGCGGCTTGCTTGCCTAATCAAGGGGACCAAAGGCTATTGTAAGTTTATATGTAAGTCCCATATTTTGGATGCTAGAGACATAAAAATGAGTTATCCTGGTTTAAAATGTAAATAAATAAAGGACGCTATATATTTGTTTCTACAAGGACAGATTACATTTCTTTGTTATTAGTAAATTAGTATACTTAACGTCACGCTACGATCGTAAAGAGCGAAGCGTTTTTAAATATTTTAAAATGAAATTATCTTTTCGGATTAAAACCACATAGATCTCTCTCGTGTTTGCTGTAAAGAGTGGAAGCATTCGTACCGTCAGGAATCAAAATATAAAATAAAACCGCAATAAAATCCAAAAAGATAGTTTCATTTTAAAATGGAGATTCATTGTAGATACAGAATGACAAAAAAAAATTTACAGTAACAGTGTAAGGATTTATTTAATACTAGCATCCTCGCTTCGCTCGGGCTCGTCCCTATATCGTAATTCTTTAAATTGGCATAACTTTTTTGGTTAAGCCGTTTCTGAGATTATCGAGCACAAATGCACAAACTGACAAAAGTTCTAAAAATCATTGTTTTGAGTTCTACTGCGTTAATAAAGACTTCTATAATAGATTCTCTCAAATATCTTACATCTACAGACAACGATCAGTTACACTTTTATTATATGTACAGATAACCCTAAAATTTAAAATGATTCACCGGAAATGGGTTTTAAATTAAAAAAAAATACCTTTGACAATTCCTTCGCCATTTCAAAAGTGCCGACTGTGTCCATATTGCTCGCCATCACGGGGACTCCCCGATACGTCTGCCCAGAGTTGCGGAATGTAATCTCGCGATACAAGTCCACCTGAGAACAATTAACAATAGAGATGATAAGTAAGTGCTAAACATGGCAAATATCCCGTTGTACATCATAATAATATTGCCAGTGACCACTAAAGTTTAAAGACTTTAATATATAACCAGGGGTGGACTGTGAATTAAGGGGGCCCTGGTCTAACATTTCTTGGGATCTAAAAATGGCAATCAGTTTTATTAATTAGAATTAAACTAATTGTCTTTTTGCTTTTATATTATAAACTATACCTAATGATAGATGGCACTTGACGAAATTAACGCTATTTTCTGGTTCTGGTTAATTTGATCTGAGGGTTATTAGGCCCACCTTTTATGGCCTAATTTTTTTATAGATACCTAATTTTTTATTTTATAAATTCACAATATTATCCATTGTTTTTAACAGGGGGCCTATTTATCTTAGGGGCCCTGAGCTGTAGCCCAAAAAGCCTATATATAGAACTTAATATGTATATAGAGGTGCTAGTTAAAGAGACCATACTAAAATTAGTCCATATATGTAAGCACTGATACAATGAACAGATGGACAAACATATACAACAATCAATATATACAGTTAAGATGATATATATTGTATAATATGTATATACATACGTTATAATACAATATTTAAAAAAAATGCTCTTCAAAATAATTTTATAAGCTTAGTGACAGTCAAGAGCATTTTTTTTATTACTTTTTTATGATTTTATGTAGATACAACAACAATTATTTATGTACCTAATACAAAGTAACAATTTTAAATCTTAATAAAGAAAGTTGAAATATCTCTTTGTAATGTCAAAATAACAGCTTTTTACTAAATTCATATAAAGTGTATACGGTACTTATAAGAAAAAAACTGTCTGTCTGTATCTGCTACTTTTATTTTAGAAAAAGGATCAGGGTTCCGCGCAAAAAATTAAAACCCATGTAATTGTGACTAAAATCCGCGTACGGGGACGCACTCAAGTGCAAGCAAGCAGCAAGAGTAAGTCATTGCCATTAGTATCTGATATAAAATTAAGAGACAAAAGCGAAATCTACCGTTATATTAGTTATCTGTATTAAATTTCTTCGTATTAACAAGACAAGCACCTCGTCGGAATTTTTGGCAGCGTCTAGGAACTATTTGCGTACGCCACTCGTGTTTTGTTGAATGAAAATGAATACGTTGCCGAAGTGTGATGGGAAAAATGTTTTCATCGCTGTGCATCTATACATTTGTATTTTGTAAATTTAGATATATTTACTATATATAATATTATATACATATGTAAAGTGTGTTGTGTGTTTGTTTGTATTTTGTCCATTTTTCACGTGAAAACGACGGATCGATTTTTTTTTCTATGGAGATAGAAGGCTAGTGAGTGTTACAAGCTACTTATTACCTAGACAAGTATTTTACTTATTATTTTTAATTTTATTGTAAAGTAAACTAAGCGAAATAATGTACTTTTAACCGATTTCAGTCATAAAACTGATATTGAAATGTGTACGTACACAAATTGCATTTTCCATTAAGCTCAATTCCTTATAATAAATCAGCCCATTTTTAAGATACCCCTGGGCTTAGGACTCCCCTCAATATAAGGGCGAGTTTCCATTCCATACATTTTTCGAAGTCTAGTAAGTTTTTCAGTACAGCAATAAAAATATAAATACACTAGCGACTCATCCTCACTTCGCTCGGGTTCGTCCCTAGGTACGTTATAACGATTAGTATAGACTATATACTATTATATACATATATTTTTATTTTCTAACTTAAACTTGACGTATTGTTGTAGATTGTAGGTCCACTACTATTGAAAGTAATCCGAAGAAGTGATTTCCATACAAAATAACCAGTTCTGAACTTTTAGATTTTCCAGCTGTTCTTGTGGGTTTTTCCTAAATTTTTTTTTACTTTTAAGCCATCCCTGATATATCTCCAACAAAACAAAAAAAAAATTATTCAAATCGGTTCAGCCGTTTTTGAGTTATAGCGAGACTAACGAACAGCAATTGATTTTTATATACATATATTAAAACAAATTACCATAGTAATAATAGCAACAAAGAAAATATTTTATGTTAATCTTGTAAAAATAATAAATATTATGATTGTGACCCCTAAAAACCTCAGCTGAGACAATTACCTTTTCCCCCAACCATAAAATATTGTTTAGATGATGGGTCATGTACGTCACGCAAGCAAATAAAAATATAGGGATTTATAATTTTTCAACCAAATTATGACTGAAGTTTTTATTATTTATTACTTAAGCTCATGTTACATTACATAACATTGGCAAATACATTTTGGACGAAGTCTGTTAGCGAATTGCTTTACTTATCTATACTAATATTATAAAGAGGTAAAGTTTGTGAGTTTGTGAGGTTGTAGGGAGTAATCTCTGAGTCTACTGAACCGATTTCGATGAAATTCGGTAAGAAGACAGATTGAGACCCTGGAAAGGACATAGGATAGTTTTTATCCCGGAAATCATCCCTTAAGGGGGTGAAAATGGGGATGCAAGTTTGTATAAGAATTTAAAAAAAACTTATATACGAATTTAAGCAAATTACATAAGATGTTATTTTTGAATATTAGGCAAACATATTTTGTATATCAATAAGTTTTCTACTTCTATAAAAATCATGTTTTTTTTTTTAATTTGTACTTTATATGTTGGGACAATATATATAGGAATGTTCATACTATATATTATATTTAAACTAACGAAATACTTTGCAATATTATAATTTAATGAAGCTTTCTCTTTCTGTCCTACATTTCTTCCACGATAAATCCCCTCGACAGAAGCTACAAAGCAACCGACTGGGCTTTTTGCCAAAGTTTCATATTTTCCGAAACAATGTCAGCCATCAAGGGTAAGAATGTAGAATGAATCGATAATGCGGAACGTGAAGACATTTTAAGCAGCGTTGTGAGTTGTCCATCTCAAGTTATTACATAAGTGAACTAACAACCCAAGTCTCTAAATTCCTTTCGCAATAAGCTTTAAGAAGGGACGTTTTTTTTCTACTAAACTCATAAGTATCTTCATTCCGGTAGCTTATTTTTGCAAAATGTTCATAACTTATATTATTAATTAATTAAGTTTTTTTTAATTGTTATATTTATAATGATAACAGCTAAAATTAAATAAATAATATTACTATATTTAATTATAATACTTTTTTTTTAATGTTTAGATTCAAAATCAACAAATATTGTAAAGTCCCTACTCTGGTGCCTTTTTTGAATTATTGAAATCATTTTTGTAAAATTGTAGGTAGGCACTGTCTGTAAAGAATACATCTAAAACCTTAGTCTCTCCCGTGACCATGTAAAGTGCTGTAAAGCATTCGAAACGTCGGGACCCAAAAATCAAAATAAATCAAATCAAATCAAATCAAACACTTTATTGCGAACTTGGGTTAGTACATACATTTAGATTTTGATAATAACATATTTAATGTTCAGCCAAATTCAGCCTTACAGCATGCAATATTTCAATAATTAAAATATACCTAAAATTACAAACGTTAACATATATTACATAATAACATATTATTCAGTATTATGTTTAACTTCCTGTGTAATGTATGTTATATCATTCTTTTTTAGCTAGTTAATTACAATATCTATATACCTGTTTAAAATTATATATTACAACTTATCCAACATATAGTCTTTAACTGAATAATACGTTTTTTCTAATAGAAATTTCTTCAATTTATGTTTAAATACATTAATTTCATTAATTTCTAAAATATCTTTAGGCAAATGATTATATAAAAGTGGTCCAGTACAAAACACACTCTTCGAGAAAATATTGGTCTTACAACGCGGGTGGCGAAGCATAGCCCTATGTCTTACACTACTACAATTTTCAAATAAATATAAATTATTCTTAATATAATTAATAGTCTCATAGATGTACATACTTGGGAATGTCATAATATTATAATTTTTAAAATATGGTTTACAACTTTCAATCATTTTTAATTTAAATATTGCTCGGATACATTTTTTTTGTGCTTTAAAAGCTACATCACTATCTGCCGAATTACCCCAAAAAATAATGCAGTATCTTAACAATGAAGCGGCATAAGCATGATATACAGTTAATAAAGTCGAAATATTTACTATTTTGGCCAACATATGGAGCGCATAAGAAAATTGACCTAATTTTATGCTTATTTCCTCAATATGCTTTTTCCAATTCAAATTACTATTAATATTGAGCCCTAAAAATTTTGTTACATCGACTTGTTTGATTTGTTTACCATCAAAATTTATATCCAAAGCATTCAGCATATTTTTCCTATGTCTAAAAAACATTAAATTAGTTTTATCCAGATTAATCATGAGCTTATTACAATGCAACCAATCTATAATAATTCTAAGGGTTTTATTAATATCATTCTTTAGGTCGACTGTGTTATTGTTAGCAAAAATTATAGTACTATCATCAGCAAATAAGATCATTTTATGATCAGCAACATGTTTCGGTAAGTCGTTTATATAAATAATAAACAATAGAGGACCCAAGATGCTGCCTTGGGGAACACCTTGGAGAATTTTTTTCGAGTCAGAAGAATAAACAATTTTTTTTTTATATCTGCTACATACTTTTGAAATTTGTGTTATTTGTTTTCTATTAGAAAGGTAAGACTTTATCAGATCCAAGACGTTGCCTCTAACACCATAGGCAAAAAGTTTGTCGAGCAAGATATTATGATCAACAAAATCGAAAGCCTTAGTTAAATCCATAAATAAGGCACAGACAGGAAGTTTATTATTTAAATTAGGCATGATATAATTAAGAAAGCTGTAGACAGCCATATTTATACTCTTGTTCTTGCGAAAACCAAATTGATCATTTGTAAATAATTTCTTCTTTTCGAAGAAATCATTCAATGAATTATAAATAATTTTCTCAAAAACTTTGCTTAAAATAGGGACAAGAGCTATAGGTCTGTAATTGCACATAGATTCTCTATTAAGTTTTTTAAAGA